TGTTGGGCGTCTACGTCTTCACCGACCGGCTTGCCTTCGCCGCCGCCGACTGGTGTTTCCGCCTGCACGGCTGGCCTATTATGCCGCCGTTGTTGGGCGTCTACGTCTTCACCGACCGGCTTGCCTTCGCCGCCGCCGACTGGTGTCCCCGCCTGCACGGCTGGCCTTTATGCCGCCGTTGTTGGGCGTCTACGTCTTCACCGACCGGCTTGCCTTCGCCGCCGCCGACTGGTGTTTCCGCTTGCACGGCTGGCCTTTATGCCGCCGTTGTTGGGCGTCTACGTCTTCACCGACCGGCTTGCCTTCGCCGCCGCCGACTGGTGTTTCCGCCTGCACGGCTGGCCTTTATGCCGCCGTTGTTGGGCGTCTACGTCTTCACCGACCGGCTTGCCTTCGCCGCCGCCGACTGGTGTTTCCGCCTGCACGGCTGGCCTTTATGCCGCCGTTGTTGGGCGTCTACGTCTTCACCGACCGGCTTGCCTTCGCCGCCGCCGACTGGTGTTTCCGCCTGCACGGCTGCCCTTTATGTCGCCGTTGTTGGGCGTCTACGTCTTCACCGACCGGCCGCCTCGTCCGCCGCCGACTGGTGTTTCCGCCTGCACGGCTGGCCTAGTATGCTGCCGTTGTTGGGCGTCTACGTCTTCACCGACCGGCCGCCTCGTCCGCCGCCGACTGGTACTTCCGCCTGCACGGCTGGCCTATTATGCTGCCGTTGTTGGGCGTCTACGTCTTCACCGACCGGCCGCCGCATCCGCCGCTGACTGGTGTCATCGCTTGCACGGCTGGCCTGTTATAACGCCAACTGATGCTATCTTCTTCACGGCTGGCTACATCGCTGTCACTACTTATAGGCATCAGTATCTTCAACACAAGCTGCCTACGTTTGCCATGGCTGCCGACTGGTTTCTTCACTTCCATGGCTGCATGATTCTGCCAGTGTTGATTGGCCTTACCATCTTCATCGCCTTTCGTCTCGTCTGCTGCTGACTAGTGCCCTCGCCTCTACGTCTGGTTTATACAGCTACCACTACTGATGGACATCATCGTCTTCCGTTGCCGACTGGTTATGCCGCCGCCGACTAGTGCTTTTATCTTCACAACTGCGCGTCTTCGCTACCAGTTTGCTTCTGTTGCCGCCGACTCGTGTTCACTTCATCACGGCGATGCAACTTTGTCATCATGGTGGAGCGACTTCATCTTTATTATCTTCGGCACTGGCAAACTCTATTGCTGCTACTTCGCAAGTTTTACTACTTCACCAACCACGACGTCTTTGTCATCATGCCTCGACATCTCGGCATGCGATGCCATGTTATTTTACTACAATAAGAGGCTCTCCAACATTCATGATTTCTACTTGGAAATCTTCAACACATATCTTCAATCAAGCAATAACTATTCGACGACAAGAGGCTACAGTTTTCGACTCTATGTTCAGTTGTTTCCCAACTAATCAAAGAGTCGGGGGCTACACAAATACAAGGCTCAAAATTTGACAAATTTTATGTCAAGCTGAAGAAATCAATTCATCAACCCACGAGTCAACTCCAGGAGTCATTATCTTCATCTTTGCTTCGGAGCAGACATTCTACTTCAACAACTTCAAATATTTCGGTTTAGACGAGTTGGGCAACAACATCAACTCTCCTCCAAGTGAAGCATCTACAACAGCTATAACATTAATTTGATGGATTATTGTCACTAACATCATCACCAGCACCTCTGCTTCATCGACCCTGACATCTCTGCTGTTGCTAATGGATGATTATGTTTTCGCCGACTTATTATTTCACCTTGACGGTTGACCTACTATGCAAATGCTGATGAGCGTCTTTGTCATTATCATTGGTTGCTACACTGCTATTGGCTGGATCACCGACATCGTCATCTTCATCATGTCGGTTGCGTTTGTCGTCGTCAACTATTTTCTTCATCTTCATGATTAGTGGATTTCGCCATCACTGTTGATGCGCGTCTACGTCTTCATCGTCGGTTTGCTTTTGTCAACACCGACTGTTTCTTCGCCTCCATGGTTATGCAACTTCATTACCTTTGATTGGTGTCACTGTTTTTTACTACCACTGACATCTTCCGTTACTTCTGATGAGCAATTTCGTCTTCATGTTGGTCATTTCATCTCCATGCCGACTGCGTCAGCTATTGCCAATAGACAATTTTGACTATGACAAAATGACAAGCTATATGCTCAGGGGCTCATCAACTCAAGCGTGAGGATTATATCTCCAATTGGGACTTGTTCCGGATACATTCCACATGGATTCATAGTCATGAGTCTATCTTCTATGCTCAAAGACTGGACCAATTATTATTCCCCGTAAAGGCTATCAACCGAATACTTGCGCCAGTCGGGATTCAATTATTATATTTATTTTGGAGTATCCCATAAGGGATAATCATTCAGATCAGAAGCTATTCATATGAGCTACACTTGGTCTATATTACCCAGAAGATTTGTTACCCGGGAGCATGTTACATGCGTCATCCTTTAAAGGGTATCGAAGGCATATTTTTTGGCCTAGGCCTAATATGTCTGCAGCCCATATTTTCAGGTGTGGCCTGTCACGTTCTTTTAGGGACTTAGGCACTTTTTGCTTAGGCCAAAGTGCGCGTGATCAAGTGCCCAATACCTTAAAATCCTTTTATACCGCAGTTACTTAACTTTTTAGGAGTTGGTACAATGCATCTTAAAAGGTGTCAAACAGTAAAGCTTTATATAGCTGTCCCGCTGACTTTTTTATATAGTCAAGGTGCTGTTTGGGTTTATCAAGCAATTGATTGGATACAATATCATTGCTTTTTGCCACGTAAGTGTGCATTTTTATTGACCAATATTATGGCTTAGGCTGATTATATATTATGGTCATTTGTCAGGCGGTTGGTAAATCCTTTATGAGTTTACTTACTCGGATGTTATACCACATATGCCATATATTTCCAGGTGTGGTGAAACCATGTGTCTTTTAGGGACTTAAGCACATCTGTTAAAGCAGTGTGCGCATGGCGTATGCCCAATACTTTGGAAATTTCTTTATTCACAGCATTCAAGCTTCTTTATAGCTATTTTGCTATATCACTCATCATATTTTACAAAGCAGTTGGTATATCACCCGGATCATGTTATTTGGAGGATTCACACCGCATATGCTATATATTGATATCAAGTCACTTGGTTGATTACGATTATCAAAACCACTCGGTTGGTTGGATTATTTATTCCTTGACTATATGCTTGGTTTGTTCAATTAACCACATTGTCGGGGGCTACACCTATTAGGTGCATCTAGTCGGTGCACCTGACTTTATTTTCCAGCCCTCCACAGTCTTCAGATTTGGTAAAAGTACTCGGGAGACCATGACAAAGATGATTGAAGCACTCGGCTTTGGAGTAATCTGGTTCGAGAGAAGATTATCTTTTCGACTGCGAAGGTCTCAGGGGCTACTGTGGATATTATGGGTACCCCATACCCATACGGCATGGTTATCCGACTAGTCATAGGGGATAACTTATATCTATGGAATATGTAATAGATCATGACTCGGGTATTACGTTTCCTTATATATTACGGAACGGCCTAAAGTCCTGGTTTGATAATATTGTAAAGTAGATTTAGGAAACCGATACCGTATTGGTTAAGGTTTCTATCTTGTAATCCTGCCCCCCACCCTATATAAGGTGGGCAGGAGGCCCTCTAGGGGGCATGATGACACAAACTAGATCGTCAGATCTATAATACACCCGGCGGATTCAAATCCCCAAACAGGAGTAGGGTATTACCTCTCATTGAGAGGGCCTGAACCTGTCTAAATCCTTTGTCTCCGCATCCATCCACTTTTAGGTCTCGTGCGCTACCCCCTTTTATTATTGCCGAATTCATGTTTCGACACCTCTATGACCTAAATGGTCTTATGATAAACTAAACGTCTTCGTCCTAATCTCGCTGACGTCTCAACGAACCCATAAACAAGAACTCAATATCCAGCTCGCTAGTACGGAGTACTACGCTGTATATAACAGTAAATTATACAGAATAATCACCATTCATGTACTAATGTATTATGTACTCCGATTAGTGCATGAACCACATGGCTAAGCTGACCACTGTGCTCGCAGATCTAAGCATGTTCCTGATGCACGTGTTAGGTTCTTTCTTTTTACTGCCACTTGCCCGGAGAATTTTTTTCATTTTTAAATTTTTTTCTTTTAATATTTACAGAAATAATCCATGGGCGCAAAAAATTACAAAAATAGACCCTGCCGCCCTCTACTAGGGCGGCAAGCTGACGTGGCAAACGGGGAGGGACGGGCGGTGACGGCAGACGGAAGAGGGAGGGTTTTTTTTTGCACGAAAACCATTGCCGCCCTCTGTTAGGGCGGCAAGGGCCCCCATGCAAAAAAGACAGCCCGGGCCTAGTACTTTTTGGCTGGTACGTCTAGTAGGGCGGCAAGGGACCCAGATGCAAAATGTACGAGCCAAATGCTGCGAAAATTGCATTTAGCCCCTTGCCGGCTAAATGCAATTTTCGCAGACGGCCGCAGACGGCGCCGTCGAGCCGCCGTCTGCCACGTCAGCTTGCCGCCCACCACTAGGGCGGCAGGGTCTATTTTTGTAATTTTTTGCGCCGATAGATTATTTCTGTAAATATTAAAAGAAAAAAATTAAAAATGAAAAAAATTCCTTGCCCGGAGATGGTCTCCACGGAGTCGCCGGCCCAGCTAGCTGCAGCCCAAGGCCGGAGCAGGCCGGCCCACAGGCCGTATCCCTCGGCCCAGTACGGGATCAAGTCGGACTTGCGGGCCAGGTCAACTCCAATTCGGACTCTTGAGCTCGTCGCATCGCAGTGATCATGTCGGAGTCAACGGGTTCATCATCATATCCGTGGCGCTATAAATTTGCAGCGAGCACGTCGTCTCCCTCTCTTCCCATCTTCCAAGAATCCATCACCGAGCTCGCGGCCTAGCTCCGCGCCCAGAGCGCGCCATGGATTATCTCTATCTGGATGATGCCGACGCCGACGTCGAGGCTATGCTCCGGGAGATCGCGGCCGCCGTCGCCGCCAATGGTCCCGGCGGAGCGGCTGCTGGCGACGAGACGGACGGGAGCTACTGCGCCGGCGAGAGATGCGCCTGCGCGGCGTGGACGTACGACGCCGACCTGTACGCCAGCCTCCGGGCCATGGAGATGGCCGCCGGCGAGCGGTCGTCGCCGGACTACATGACCGCGGTGCAGCGCGGCCGGGTCGACCCGTGGACGCGCGCGTCGCTCGTGGCGTGGATGGAGGGGATCACCCGGGGGCACGCCGGCCTCGCCGCCGGCACGCTCCACCGCGCCGTCGCCTACGTCGACCGCTACCAGTCGGTGAGGCCCCTGGAGGCGGTGAGCCACCGCCTGCTCGCGCTGCTCGGCGCCACGGCCGTCTTCGTCGCGGCCAAGTACGAGGGCGACCTCCCCGAGGAGAGGCTGAGCGCCGGCGACGCCGCCGCCGGCGCCGGCGCCGGCGGGCTCGCCATCGCCAGGAGCGAGGTGCTCGACAGGGAGCTCGACCTGCTCGACGCGCTCGGGTACAGGCTGGGCCGCCCCACCGCGCACACCTTCGCCGACCACTTCCTCGCCAGGTACGGCTACTCCGGCGGCGACGCCGTGCACGCCGTGGCGCACCACCTCGCCGACCTCACGCTGCTCGACCGCCGGAGCCTGAGGATCCCGCCGTCCGTCGTGGCGGCGTCGGCGGTGTACCTCGCGCGGTACGCGGCCACCACCCTGGCAGATGCCGGGCTGCCGCCGCCGCTGCCGTGGGAGGACGACGGGCTGGAGGCGGTGACGGGATACAGCGTCGTGTACCTGGCACGCTGCATGGAGGAGATGTACGACGTGCATGAGATGGCGTCATTGTGGCCGGGTTACGACGAGATGAAGAGCAGATTCGCCATTGACTACCTGTTGCTTCCTTGCAGACTTGTGGTGCCCTTAGTCTTAATGTGATCATCGTAAGGGGTTTAATTAATTCATAGTATATAGGGGATCGACGATTAGCTAGGAGAGTCAAGAGAATCAGGTAGCAGAAAAAAGAAGGGGTTGATCTGGAAGGGGAAAAAATTGCCGGCATTTCGATGCTACAAGCAGAAGTCCGTTGCAAACGTGTGAGGTTTCATCAACGATGTTGTTGATTGTGGTAAACCTCTTTGTAACCATTAATTTGATCTTAGTAAATTTCTCTTGGCCGACGAACGCCTTGTTCGCCCGTAAAAAAGGTGGTGCATGTAATTGTAGCTTAGCATCTGTACGTAAGTTTTTTTTAATTGAAATGTGAAATGAGATGTTTGGAAACGTCGTAAGTTCAATTTCTCGATGACGTGTATTTGCTTACTTCTAAAATTTTATTTCGGAAAAAAATGCTTTTCATTGTCTACAAATAATACCATTTAAATTTAAACATAATAATTACATCTTTCTAGCTTTGTTTACACTCCGTTTTAGCCTTTTAGGCCTCCTTTTAGAACAGATAGTTTTCATATAAGTAAATTTTAGGGATTAAACGGGCTTTTTAGCTACTTTATTGGATTATTGTCACAGATTATTTACTCTAGGTCTCTTAAATATGTTTTCTATAGATCACTTGTTCGAAGCCATTTATAAAGTTTACTTTTAAAACATTAATTCATTCATAAATCAAATATATAATCGGCAGTAACAATAATCCAACGAGTAATCTGTTAAACTTATCTTTTTGCAAGAATTTTGTAAATTTGATGTGTTCCAACATATAAACTGGGAGGCCGTTCCATGTGCAACGTGGCGTCCCCGGGAGAAGCCACGCGACTGCTACTGTGCCTTTATTTCAGCTGTCCGTAACCACGCCACGTATGCCGAGAGCACGAAACCATCTCAAAAACTATCCGCATAATCCCGGTCCACTCACTGGCACACTGACAAGTGGGTCCAGAACCCCCACCCGGGCCCACACATCAGCGACCCCACAGCCATCTCACCACCACCAGATAAGCTCCCCTCCACGGCTTTATCTTCCCTCCTCTTCCCCTCCACTGCTTCTTCTCCCAAGTCCTCGTCGGCGGCCACAACACGTACACCACACAGCGGCGCGAGACCGGAATAGGAGGTTTCAATGGAGGTGGTGGGCGGCGTGTCGTCGCTGAGCGCGTCTTCGCCGGCGCCGGCGCGGGCGCGGCTGCGGCAGCTGTCGCCCGGCGAGGCGAGCGGCGGGGGGAGCTTCCTGCTGATGAGGACGGCGCCGAGGAGCAGGCTGCAGGCGGCGGCGAGGCCGGCGAGGCGGGCGGCGCTGGTGGTGGAGGCGAGGGGGAGGGGGTGGTCGGACCGGCGGTCCCAGCAGCAGCGCATGCCGCAGCTGCCCAAGATCGAGGACGACGGCAACCCGCGCTTCGTCATCTTCATCCGCACCGCCAATGTCCGTGCTGCCCTGATTCTTGTTCTTCTTCTTCTTCTTCTTCTCCATTCCTGATCCCAATGCTTCGCGTGCGTGTGATCAAGATTTGTGTGGGTTTTTTTTTCTGGTTTCTGCAGGTGTACTTCTGGTACCCGCTCAACATCGTCACCGGCGGCACGACGGCGAAGATCATGCTCGCGGCGAAGGACAACTTCCTCGGAAAGTACATCTACAAGGACACGCTCGCCAGGAACCTTGCCGCTGTCATCTACAAAGTAATTAACAGCACAATCTGTTTGCTTACACAAATTGTCACACAATCGTGTTTGAAGAGTTGTAGAAAAGAGAAGATTTAAATGTGCGTGTTTCATGATTTGATTTCTGAAGGATGAGGATGACATAATAGACACAGCAAAAGAGCAGTACAGGGTGCTGAAGACCGACAATGAGTTTCGATATGGCTACAAAGTTGTGGTAATTTTCTCAGTCCTCATCTTCTGTGCGTGATTGTATGTTGTTGCACTCGAAAAAATTGAGAATTGCAATTTACCTGTCTCATTTGGGTGAGCAGGAGAATGGGAACCTGAGGTCTGCGCTGACGACAAGTAATGTGATCGAAGTACGTTTCGCTAGCGCCTTTTATCTCCTCTCCCTGTCGAATTCTCTGCAAGTTATGTAGGAGTAGCAATTTCTCATGAACATTAGAGCTGAAATCTCTGAAAATGTACATTTCAGACTTGTATCTTGCTTTATCCTAGGCTGACATTTTCTAGAGCACAACCTTCAAATTATTTTGGCCTAGTACTAGATAGTAGCTCAGAAAATGTTGTCCTGGAAAAGAACTTCTATGCAGTTAAGTGAGGATGGTAGGCATTTCTTATAGTAAATGTACAAATGACCATGTTTTCAGTAAGCATGTCTTGAGCAAAGGTAGCAAGTCACTAACAGTAAAATGTTTTGATTATCCCAGCTCCCAAAGAAAGAAGAGCTCAAAACTGTGGTTGACAAGGTGAAGGACTTCTTCGGCGACGTAACCTCTGGCGCCAAAGAGTCGTTTGCGCAGATTACAGGATCTGTCAGCGCAGAGGCAGAAGCGCCAGTGGAGGAAGAGAAGCCCTGGGTGAAGAGGCGAAACGAGAGGAAGCGGAAACAGAAGGAGAAGCAGAACCAGAAGCAGGGGATCAGTAAGTAAAGAGAGACAATGCTCCTACACTAAACTACATTACTGCTTCCTGTGATTTTGCTTGTGTGAATCTCTAGGCCTTTGTATAGCCATCAAACACAGACGTTCTGACCTGCCTGCATGGTTACCATTTCTGATCTGCAGAAACGGAGAGCTGATTGTAAAGCGCAGCATACCAGAGATCGTCAAGTGAACAGCCGGCTGTAATTTTCCAGTGTGCTCATTTCCCTGTCCCAGATTAGCTCTGTGTAGTTCCTCAATACTTCGAGTTTTTTTGCAACAAACAATGTGTAGCTTGCCTGTGACTCTGAGTAACTTGCTTTGTTCTTCCTTACTAAATCTGCAGCTAGAGTCTCCTGGGATATTAGAAATCGGTATTTTATGGACTTATGGAACGGCGAAAATTACTGTTGTATATTGACCTCGTTTCTGATGAGTTACAGTGGCTGTACAGTGTGTGCGCGCGATTGCGTATGACCGAATGCTGTTTATCTGTTTTCTGAAATGTTGCATCTGAAAACAGGCTCAGAACAAAAGGAATTACGCTTGGTTCTATTTTGCAGTTCTCTTTTGAGACTAGCATGTCAGGCTATTTCAAGCATATAGAGACCCATAAGATCAAACAGTGCGGAACCCCAAAAAGACATCGCCACAAGACTTGAAATGAACGAACAGATTCATCTCAGAAAGACATGCACTCTTCTCGTTCTACAAATCTAAAGCACACTTACTGAAATTGCACACGGAGGTTCTCTTTAAAACCTTTTTGCTGTCCGCAATAAAATCAAACCGAGATAAAGATCATGTTCTCATGAGCCTAGGAGTACAAGTAGAACAGCAATTTCAGTACGGTTTATGTCCATGGGGAGCTTTGCAGGGATCTAGAAGGATCACACCTCCAACGTCCAACGTAGACCATTGAATTTACAAGTCAATGACTCGTGACAGTTTCTGGATGCGGTTCAGCAAGAAGTCCCCTTGCTTGATGGTCGCTTGGTAGAAGGCATTCCTAGCGTCAGGTCGGTTTGTCTCCAGAACACCAGCAACCTTATCGATCTTGCAGTGAAGCTTCCCAGCTGCAATGAACCGCGACAATTCCCTGGAACAAATGAAAGGGAGATATTATCTCCACAGCACAGGAACAGAAAAGAATGTTTTGTCCTACACAGGAATCACAAACATAAAACTAATGCGGATGGGTGACAGCACTTACTGGTCTATGAAATCAACAGTCACACCAAATGCTGCGGCCATCGCTTCCATTGTCACACTCTTGTATGACTCCAAAAACTGTGAATAGACAACGGTCCGCACTTCCCTCATATAGTAGCGGAAATGAGGCTGAAGATAGCGATCCAACTTAATCTGCTCCGTCATGCCAGCTGAAAAGAAGTTTAGACCATATATTCATATAGCCCAGCCGTACAGACTGTAACAGTAAAACTATAGACAGCTTATCAAGATACTTTACACTTACAGAATGCAACAAAAAATGACTTGTACTGGCAATTGTAAAGGGAGTTCAGAAACTCAGATAGATGAGGTACTTTGCCAATCACTGCCAAAATTTCTGGTGCATCTACCACCTGCCATATTTCTTGTTAGTGAGTCAATTAAGAAAAAGAAAAGAGAGTGTAAGAAGTGAAATTACCTTTTGTTTTAGAGATACACGATCCAATGTGATTATGCTTGTGATGACTGTATAGAAGACAAAAGTATCATATGGAAACAACTCGTAAGTTGTGAAAGTTGAGATGGAATCTAAAAATAAGCTGGCAGCTTTCTTGAAGTTTCTCGTTGCCATGAAGTATAGGCCTTCATATACTTTCAATCGGTTCTTTCTCTCCCAGTCGCCTCCTTCCTCAAACAGGCTTCAATCAACACAATAAATAGTCAGATGTCATTGCTCCAGTATAGATGGCAGAATGGAACTTCACAAAGGCACAATCAAAGCTATAACTTACTTCTTTGCCTTGTCAATGGATTTTGAGATGAGATCAAAGTCCATGTGGAAAAGGCCTATTTGCAAAGTGTAGAACACAAGATCCATTTTCTGGCCAACAGCTACAGTTTTCCCTTCAGTAACTTTAAGCTGCTCCAGTGCTTTTTCCTGCAATATTGATTTCAAAGAATGCAAATAGCTAAATCTCAAGCACACACTTAATGTAAAGTATAGAAGCACACAAGTTTATACCTTCTCTCCAACCCTCATGAAGTACAAGGATTTCGCCAGATGGGCCTCACGCACTTCGCTCTCACCCAAATTCTCTTCAGCATCAGCAATTCTTCATACATGAAACATAATTACTTAGTTACTTCCAGAGGAACCAAATGATTCTTATCAAACTTCTAGTAACTGAAATATTAGATACAGATGCGAAGAGCAAGATCAGAAAGTAGAAACAATGAAACATGCAAATCACCAAAAGGACATATCTTGACTGGAACCTCAACTTCTCAAGGAAACTATTTCTAACAAATTTCAACATGCCGTTCTTCCTTCACATTAGTTTACACTGGTATTTTGTCTCGAGAAGTTGCGTATTGTGATCCTTAGCAATCTCAATTACTTCTCTACATGCTAAATTACACATTGCAGAGAAAATGTACAAAATCATGAATATGTACATGAATCTAAAACAAAAATGTGGAAAAAGTTTATTATTATGTAGTATAGATTTGCATAGAGGTGAATTAATTGGCCCTAAACATAATTCATAAATTACAACTACCGAATCAAATGCAAGCTATCTACCAGTTTTAGCATCTACATCTCGCAACACAGAGTAAGCTAGGTTAGCTAAGGCAAACGGACCATATCAACACCTGAGTTATCGCAAAACTTATCGCATACGCAACACAGCAAGGGGCGGCCTAATTTTTGGGGGGCTAAAAATCTACTACTACTTAAAAAATAAGAGGTGCTTCCATCGTCCGTCACAAATAAATAAAAACAGCGAAAAAAACAGGAAAAAAAAAGATGTCCGATTCCCTGGCAAAAAAACACCCGATCCCTTAAAAAGGGAAAAAAAAAGTCCGAGAGACAAACCGTTTAATGAATAAAAAAAGCGAAAAAAAAAGAGTCCGATTCCCTGGAGAAAAAAAATCTGATTTCCCTGGAAGAGATCCGATCTGTATTGGATTGGAGAAAAGAAAAAAAACACTTCTCTAGGTGCTTCTGTCGTCCGTCAAAAAACGGGAGAAAAAAACCGAGCGAAAAAAAAAAAGAAAAGTCCGATAAAAAAACCTGGCGAAAAAAAACCGGGCGAAAAAAAAACAAATATGTCCGACAAAAAAAAAGGAAAAAAAAGGAAAAAATACCGAAACGAATCCGACTACATCGACGCGGTAAAAAGAGTTTAAAAAAATAAAAAGAAAACTGTCCTATTCCAAAGAAAAATGAATTATATGTATCGTGGAGCAAAAAAAAAAAAGAAAAGTCCGATAAAAAAACCTGGGCGGAAAAAAACCGGGTGGAAAAAAAACAAATCTGTCCGACAAAAAAGAAAGCAAAAAAAGGAAAAAAATCGAAACGAATCCGACTACATCGACGCGGTAAAAAGAGTTTAAAAAAATAAAAAGAAAACTGTCCTATTCCAAAGAAAAAGGAATTATATATATCGTGGTAAAAAAATCGACCGGGCGAAAAAAGAAAAAAATAGTCCGATCCGAAAAAAACAGGAGAAAAAAAAATGGGCGAAAAAAAATTTGTCCGATAAAAGAAAAGGAAAAAGCTGAAAAGAATCTGACTCCATCGACGCGGTAAAAAAAGGCGAAAAAAAACTTTCCGATAAAGAAAAAGGAATTATATGTGACGCGGTAAAAAAAATAAAAAAACCATGCGAAAAAAAAGATAAAAGTCCGATAAAAAAACGGGGCGAAAAAAAAACAAATCTGTCCTATCCAAAAAAAGCCAAAAAGGGGAAAAATCAAAACGAATCCGACTCCGTCGACGTGGTGAAAACAGGGCGAAAAAATTCCAAAGTAAAGGGAGAAAAAAAATCAAAACGAATCCGACTCCGTCGACGCGGTAAAAAAAGGGCGAAAAAAATCCAAAGTAAAAGGAATTATATGTGACGCGGTAAAAAAAATCGATCGGGCGAAATAAACCGGGCAAAAAAAAATCTGTCCGATCCAAAAAAAGGGGAAAAAATCAAAACGATTCCGACTCCGTTGACGCGATAAAAAAGGGCGAAAAAATTGTCTGTTTCTAAAGAAAAAGGAATTATACGTGATGCGGTAAAAAAAATCGAATCCTATTATATCTAGAAAGGTTTGACACTATGTGAAAGTGGTGAAAAAAACCCTTCGTAAAAGAAATGCACGAGAAAAAAAATTAAAAGGACGGAAAAAAGCGCGGAGGAAAAAAGTCAAATTTATATTCGTCGTTTTTTAGTCCATTTATATATCTTCTTTATCTCTAATCTAATCTAATCTAACTATAAAAAGAGAAGTTTCTACAGTATATTAAAAAAGGAAAAAATGCGCGAGAAAATAAAAACGGTTTAAAAAAACACGTGAGGGAAAAATGTCAGAAAAAAGCACAAAAGAAAACGCGCTAGAAAATAAAGTTTCGTAGTTCTAATTTTCTGATTGTTATCGACATGGTTATGCATGAAAAATGTATATTATCATTATGTTTTTTCACCCGTTGCAACGCACGGGCATATTTGCTAGTAAAATAAAATCAGAAGAGAGGAAGAATCCACTCACTTCTCGTCGAGCTTGCGGACCTCCTCGTCGATCCGCGCGCGCATCTCGGCGAGCAGCGCGTCGTCCGGCTCCAGGACGCCCGCGGCGGCCAGCGACTCGAACAGCGGCGCCATGCCATCGGACTTGACGGCGTCGAGGGCGTCGGAGCGGAGGGCGACCTTGGCGAGGTCGTCGAGGTCGGGGTGGGAGAGGAGGAAGAGCTTGTGGGCCAGCACCAGGTGGCGCTCCTGCTTCGCCTCCTCGCCGCCGGCGTCCATGTCGTTCTCGTCGGAGTTGGGGGTTCGCGGTTAGGTCGGCTCGAGACGAGGCGAGGCGAGGTTGGGGCTTGGGTACTGGGTTGGGTGGGTGAGTGATGCCGAGTCTGTTGCTGTTGCCGAACTGATGAAAGAGGAGTGCGGCCCGCTACGGCCTAACAGCCCATGGGCCGGATTCAGATACGGTCCCCATGGGCCGGATTCAGAGCCGGTCTCAGCAGGCAACAGAGCTAACTTAACCAAAGAGGTGGATTTGTCTCCGGTTTTATTTATGTATGTATGTCATCCGAAAATTCATTAAAGATTTTAAAGATAAATTAACATGTAGGAGTAATATATTACTCAACAGACATGTAAGTTCAAATTCAACATATACAAAACAAAAAACAACAATTTTAACACACGAACTTTCCGCCTTGTTGAAGATTTGGGGGTGCTACCTGAAGATTTGAATGGATGGTCATCACTATCATGAACAACCGAGATTCAATGAGAATTCGCCCTAGCTTTTTGTCTTTGACATAAAAAAAAGTTTTTCGTATTATTCACAATCAAATTACTTAGTTCTAATTCTACTTATATGTGTCAAATTTAAGCTTGCATATTTGTGGAGTGATATTATTTATTCGATCTATCTCGTCCTTTTCTTTTTTTCAAACTTTTTGATGAGTTTTTGGGTGGCATGCAGCAGAAGGAATTGTCCTTCAGGGACAAATAGACTTCCCCGCTAAACCAAGCACATTACTGATTACATATTCAAGATAACTAGAAGAATGAAGAGAAAATTTGGTTAAAAGCTAAGTATTCAGAAACGGGGCAAGTCATAACCCAGCAGTATGTACAGATATTCAAAATGAACAACAACAAAAAGCATCACTAGATCAATCACCTTCACAACTCAAAAACCAGTGAGCGAGATTTCGTAGACAGTTAATTGAAGTTATCTGAGTCTGACAAGCAAAATCTTAATCTCCTATGCAAAGCAGCAGGCAAAAACCACAAACCAAAGGTAGCAGAAACAAACTACTCCTATCAATGCACAGTGCTACTACCACCTATGATAAGTATCATCCTGCATGCATCATCACACATCATCAAGGTAGCAGAAACAAACTACTCCTATCAATGCACAGTGCTACTACCACCTACGATAAGTATCATCCTGCATGCATCATCACACATCATCTTCGACTTGCTAGACAAAAATCAAGTGGAAACGAACTACTCCTTCCGAATCATAGCTATAGCTTCTGGCCTTTCCTGATCTGGACTCAAACTCTGAATAAGATTGATACGTGCGGGGGGGACTTGTCCGGGTTAGACCGGGGGAGGTCGTCCTCGTCCGGGAAGGTTGGGGGGGACGTCGACGCCGGGGGTAAGTCCATGTCCTGGGAGTAGGTCAGCCCGTCCTCGTCGTCGGTGTCAACTAGTGCGCCATGAGGAGGATTGCCAGTGCCCTCGTCAGCAGCCACGGCAGTGGTACTGCTGCTGCCGACGGCAGTGGCAGTGGCGTCGACCTTGACCTCGTCGCCGGTGTTGCTGTCGTCAGACCCGGCATTGGCAGTGGGATCAACCTCGTTGGCGGGGTCGTTGTTGTCGGACGCGGTGGCATTGTTGCTGCCGGTGGGGTCGACATCATCGTCAATGTGGCTGTCAGTGTCAGTGTCGGTGTCGACCGGCGGAACAGCAGGGAAGGCGCCGGGCTTGAACAGAACCAGGATGACGGTCGTGTTGTCGCCCGATGGCAAGCCAAACTGAACAAGCTCCTCACAGATGACACGCGCTTCTGCACCCTCCTGCATAGCGATATTAATTGGTCACAGCAAGTCAGCAATATTTGGCCACAGCAAAAGGAACAACAGTTTTAACAACGAAACAATCGAGCATGCAAGATATTTTTTTGACGTAAACATGCAAGATATTAGTCACAGCAATATTGATCAAGGCAAAAGGAACAGCAGTTTTAACAACAAAAGAATCGAACAATCACAAAGCAGATGACAGTGTACTTATTAGCACTTGTTTTTTTCTTTTTTAAAAAATCGGATGCTTTATATTGCCTGAGTGAAGTCATTTCCTAGAATTTGACACAAAATATTTTTGCTATTACAGTAGGAGATCTCTTGTCCTGCCAAGAAGACAAACTGAGCAAAAGAAAAGGACTCACCAAAAGACGGTCATGTGTGTGATCAACCACATTTTGATTTGTCATGTTGCACCTGCATGGAAAAAACATAGTACAGTAGGTATGCAACTATAAATGAAACTATATATGCATCAGCAGGAGAAAGAAAACAGCATCACAAAGAGTACTAGTGACATCAAAATGATCAAATAATAATTATTGTCAGTTATTTTTTGTTCAAAATTTACCAGAGGCCTTCAGTTGCTATCACAAGAAACTCCATGTCATCAGTTATGTCCATCTGACACAGAAAGGGGGATTTTCCATCAGACCCCACACAGCAGTACAAACTTCAAATTCAACCAAATACTAAACAAACATAGTTGCACTTACAGTCAGGATGTCCGGATTACATGTCAGCATTTGATCTTCAGGAGGTAAACGTTCGTTCTTCTTGCAAGCGAAGTCCCCTGAAATGTAAGTGGGTACAACACATCAGCAAATCACAACATAATATGTTTTTTTTTCGGTGCTATTATCTGCAATAAACGAAAAACAGATCCAGGCAAGACTATACCAATTGATCTTGAGATTGATACTCTTCCCTTAAAATCAGTGAAGCCCCATTGTTTCTTGGTTACCCACCTCCCCATTATTTTACGATAACTATACCCAACAGCTACTCCTCCTGCATTCTGAACTCTCTCTCTTTCAGACTCACTGTCTGGTTTATGATCGACGGATAATGCACTGGCCTTTTGACACAACAGAAACAAGCACAAATGTTAGGCACGAAAATAAGTGAGCATGCAAATTAGGTACCAACAAGAAATTCGATAAGGAAATAGTCACTATACCTGACCATTTCTTGAGAGTACACAACGAGAATCACCAGCATGCCCAACAATCAATTGGTCACCTCTGATGACAACCACACATGCTGTGCTCCCTTCATATGATGGCGCAGTATATGTTGCCTGGAAAAAGAAGAAAGAAACTAAAGGACATAATAGAGAATTCCAACATAGTAGAGATACAGGTTAACCAAGAAATAGCTCACAAAAGCAACCAGACAAAGAAAAGCATTTCTGAAAGCCAAACCAGTGTATATGAAAGAGATAACCATAGAAGAGATGCCGCAAACAATACCTCAGTTTAGGGTAGTGCCATACTATGACAAGAACCAAGGTGCAATAAGAACTTAATAACCTGTCAGGCGTCCAACTCACCAAACCAGGCAACTGATAAGTAACTAACTGGACCTTTTTTTACAGGCGCAATTAGTTGAGGTTAGGGTTAAACATATCTCTTCCAACTCCAAAGTACATCTCAAGAAAGAACAATAGTCTCGATATCACACACATTCTTCCATTTCCTTTTTCATAGATACAATAAGCACTGTCCAACAAATACAGTTTTGAGTAACTTCTTCAACATATGGATATTATAAGATGTTTAGGGGTTAAAGGATCACTACCTGCGGGAAAGGCGAAAGGTTAGCACAGACACCAGCCTTGATAAAATACATCCATCCATTATTACGAGGAATAACTAACTCCCTCCAAGCATCGGACAGTTGCAGGTCCTCATCCATGCTGCAGAAATTACACAGGAACAATGATATTCCAAATTTGCAAGTGCAGCATCATTCAGTGCAACAAAATGATATAGACTAGGCGAAAATAACCTGTAAAACGCACTCCTCATCGCATTACTTAGATTGCTGTCGTAGTCTTCATGATTGCAAAGCTCAATATGAAATCGTTTTGCACAATATGATGCTACTTCAGCTCCTGAGATAGAAAATAAACAACTCAGAATGGTGGCTCAAGATTACTCCTATGTGCATATAGAAGCTTATAAAGCAAAACAATGTGATGAACACAGCAGATCAGCACTTCATAGGTATCATAAGAAAAATAGCACCACACATAAATTAACCAACATGTTCATCAGTGGCTATCCTTTTAATTATCATGACTGTTAATATTAACTCACAACCATGCAGTGTTTTATCCCTCGTAAAATAATATTTCTGTTTAAGCAGTTCATGTTATCCTAGAAAGCACACCGCACAAAGGTGATTAGTACTAATTAGCAAACTTGGTTCATTATCCAGAACTGTAGCCTAATATTTATTTGAGAATTCACAGGTAAAAGTTTCAGCATAAACAGTAAAGTTTTCAAAACATGCACGCAGATAAACACATGACATACAAAGACAAACAAAGCATGATGTAAACAGTTATGCCGACGATTTGGAGGATTTGAAACCAAAAAAAAAAAAAAAAGAGAGAGAATGAAGATCAAACCTCCATGGCCATCATAAACGCCAAAGAATGACGTCATGGTATCATCAAGATTTAGAATAGCTGCATGCTAGAGAATATAGAGGGCATATGTCAGTCACAGTATTTTACACAATTACTTACAGATCAGTAAGAAATTTTTGCAGAACTATCCTTTTTTTTGTCATACAAAAGGCTGCAAGTTTACTCACAGCATCTTCCATTTTCTCACCCCATCCTTGCATAGACGACACAACATACTTAATTCTGTCATTCTCTTTTTCATCAGTGAACTTTGATTCTACAGGAAGGCTGTTACCCATAGCAGACCTTTGTTTTGCTGAAAATTAATAACATGAATACAAATATACAATAACTTTATTGACAAATATGGAGAAAGAGTAAAGTGAATACAATTACAAAACACTACAGATCAATTAAATACATAAGAGCTTTGGTAAAAACACGAAAAGGAGTCAACTAGACATAACATGATATGACACTATTTATCAGGGCCCCTAAATGCATTTTTGAGACATATAACATGAGAGTATCAATCTTCAGTTGCAATGCTGCAGTATTTTGCACATTAATCTTATATCTTATACAAGAATCAAGCAAAGAATAATTAAAATAAAATATTACTGTGAACAAAATGCATACAAGGTTTTGTAAGAACGCCATATAAGCTTTACTGACACAAATCATAACACCAAATTCCAAAGTGAAATGAAGAGGAAACAAACAGAAAAGGCGTATTGTACAAGGACAATCAATTTCCTCCCGGTATGGCCACCTCTTCGGTGTATTAAAACTTCAATAATTCGAAACAGAGTATGAAGTGAACAGAAGAAGAAAAACAGAGACAGCAGCGTGCACTTATAGTAGAATTCAGCAAGAAGAATACAACATGACAGCGTCACTGAGAAGTAAAATATAGGTAACAAACATGAAGAAATTGTACAATCTTGCAGAACCAAAACCGTTGGGCTTAGAAGGATCCCAAATCTAAGATTCAAGAGATGAAAGCTTCTTTGATATGCAAAGAATCAGAAGATTTCTCATCAAAAAGGGAAAAAAAAACAAGCAGTTTAACCAAGCTACACATGCAGAAATCATTGTATGAACAGAACATGGAGTTCTTTCCAAACAGAAACTAAACCAAGATAACACGTCAGAGAGAACATGGAGTTCTTTCCAAACAGAAACTAAACCAAGAGAACACGTCAGAGAGACACATAGAGAAGAAGCATCCTGCATCAGGAACAGCGAAAAGAACAAGAAGGCCGAAGGCGGCATCTGGTTAATAAATTTTCAGAAACTGAACTCCCGCAACACACCAAAATTAACTGAACAAACTGGAAAATACAAGCAGACAAGAGAAACGAATTGACGTGGTCTAATTTTTTGCGCACGCACTGGTAGAGACTTTGAGACACACACAGCAAGATCAATACACCATGAAGCTTCGGTGCTCATCAGCCTCCTCCTCCAACTCAGAAAACCACACTCCACCTCAAACTTCAAAACCATCGAAGCAACAAAAGCACGGTACGGGAAGCCTACAAGAGAGGGAAAAAAAGATCAAACAGCTGTGATCCTTGCCCCAAGTTTCGGATGACGAAACGCCTCAAGATTCAAAGAGAGGTCAAGACGCGGTTGCTGCTCGATCAAATGCCACAACAGCGAAAGACATGATCGAACCAGAAAAAACCGCGACGCCCCCAAACACCCAAGCACGCAGAAACCACACCACCAGGAGGAGAGGGAGAACACCACCAGAAGAGCGAGATCGAAGGAAAGGGAGAAGAATCTCACGGCGCTTTGGGAGGACGTAGGGTTTAGGGATGGAGGAGGAGGAGAATCTCACAACTCACCTCGCACCTTTCGCCGCTACTGCTCTTGAGATGAGTACGTTGCGAGAGAGACAGAGAGAGAGAGAGAGAGAGGAGAGAGATGCGGAAAAGTGGTTGTGCAGCGAAGCGCAAGGAGAAGAAAGCATCGCGCTTAAATACCTGAACCGGACGCATCTCGGCTGTCGGATCGTCTCTCGCGGCTGATCCAACGCTCGAGGAGTGCACCGCCCGTGTCTGGTGGTCCCCACGGAGCACGCGCCCTCCTCCTCTCGCCCTGCATGACCCACATTGCATTTGCAACTATAGCTGTGGTGTCCGTTATGCACATCCCACAGCTGACATGTGGGGCCCACAGTCTCGCTTCTGTCTCTTCTTCTCGACGCATAGGCCTCTCTCTCCGCGCCACCGACGCGAGCTGCCGCTTCCTGACAGCCGCGCCGCCACCCACGCCACCAACCTCACATAGTGCAGAAGCCGGAGTGGCTTTGTTCCTACGTGACAATCAAATCAATATTTTTTTAAAAAAATCAGTGGGACCCAACTATTAGAGAGGGAGGGGTGTGAGAGGGAAGCTGATCAAATTATCACAAAACTATATATTCGTTGATCAAATTATCATACATTGATCGAATTTATATTTCTAATCCAGTACATTGATCATCAAGTTCGCGAATGTATGATGGTATCAAAGCTTACAAGGCAGAGACCTGCTGCTGCTGCTGCTGGCCTGGCCTTGGTATGAATTGTGATCCACCGATTCCAGTGCTCGTGATTTCTGAAGATCTCGGAATAGAGCTGCAAACTGGTCATGTTGGCCTGCAAAGAGACAAACAAGCCAATGGAGGAGTTAGATTGAATTGTGAGAGGTTACTGAATTTCCAGCTTACTGAAATGGGCTCTCTTTATGAGTAAAAAAGGAGCTTACTGAAATGGGCTCTCTTTATGAGTAAAAAAGGAATGATAGAGTAAGTACGTTACAGGAAACTAAGGGCCCCTTTGCCTTTGATTTGTAGGAAAAGTGTTCAAAATTTGAAAGATTTCAACCCTTTGGAAAAAATTCCTATGAAAGCCTTTGAAACAAAGGATTGAATCCTATACTATCCTTCAAAATTCCTATGGAATGGCTAATCCTATAGAGATTTTGAAGGAAAGTTAGCAAGAGGTCCAACCTCTTGGAAAAATTTCTTTGAGTCTATCTCTCTCATCCGATTCTTGCGTTTTTCCTGTGGTCCAATCAAACGGTTATTCCTGTGTTTTTCCTGTATTTTCCAATCCTCTGTTTTACACCTGCATTCCTGTCAGAATCCTACGTTTTTCCTATTCCTCCGTTTTTCCATTCCTGCGATACAAAGGGGCCAAACATAATGTGGGAGTTATTTGCTCTTTATTTTCAGATAGTGAAATCATCTCGCAGTAAAATTGCTCTTCTTTCAGGCTAAAATCAAAGTAGATGAAAATGAGATATTGTATAACGTTTACGCTGAACACCTGTATTTCTTTGTTGGTTGAAAAATGACCCTATTAATATTGTGCGCTCAGCCAATACCATAATTGCTCTCTACGTTGACGAACAAAATACAAACTAGTGATCCATAACAGATATATCCCCCCATAGTGACCAGAATACTTACTGATATGCATTATGTATCAGGATCAGCTTCTGCAACATGAAGAGCCCATATGCATATCAATTCCAAACCAGTTGGAATGTCCTGATTTCTTTCTATAAGAACTGATGAGACATACATCAGGTGCAGCGCTATCAATTTGCAAGAAGTTGCAAACAACACATAGACCTTCTGACATATGCTTCAGGATGTTGTGAAACAGCTCTGTTGAAACAAAAGTTAATGTCAAAATTGTACCTAACTAATAAAGTTCCTTAACACAGGAAATGTCTGTTTAGGCTTGGAGTACCCAGATCTTATTGTATCAAGAATAGCTGTGGCAACAGCTGATGCTTCCGGATGCATTGTCATGCACTTCATACAGACGCCAAGCATGCATACAATTTACCTAGGACAACAAAGTAGCGACTGAGCAAATCGATACCATATTACCATGTGATCTTTTATCATATCATTGCATGAGTGGGAGCATAAAAGCAGCAGCATAAACCAAAAGCATACAAAGGAAATCTATTTTTTGACCACTCCGACTGCAAATCTTTAGCTTTTCCAAGACCCCATTTACGAGATTTTCCTGATTTAAGTATTTAACTTGACATGATCTAGATGGAACCTCCTCTTTCATACCAGTGTGAACAATTCAGAAGTGTCCTGATTCTAAGACTTCCCTCCAAGGACCTGCAACAGGACAGGAGGTCCCCTGTCCCTGAAGTAGCTAAATTTCGAGCATGTACTATGTCAACCAGACCACAGGGTAAAGTATAGAAAAATACAGATTTATACCTTCTGCCTGACACTTATGAAGTACAAGGATTCAGCTAGATGGGCCTCACGCACTTCAATCCCACCCAAATTCTCTTCAGCGTCAGCAATCCTTGATACATGAAAAAAAATTACTTTCAGAGGAAGCAATGATTCTTGTCAAACTTGCTAGTAACTGAAACATTAGATACAGAACAAATGCGGAGAGCAGAACGGAAGATATATGTGACCAGCTAAAAGGGGATGTGTTGATGACTGGAACCACAATTATACTATTTATGCTCTAGTGAAGTTATATATCTTGATTTTCCTTCACATTAGTTTACATTGGGTTTTTTTCCTTGGTGAGGAGGGTGCATAAATTACTTTTATATTGGTTGGGAAGTTGTGAATTGTGATCCTTAGGAATCTATATTGCTTTTCTACAAGCCCAATTACATCTTGTAACAATGAACCAAAGCATGCATTGATGCACATCTGTGAGCCTGGAATCAAGATACACGAACACTGGCAATATACTGAAGACAGAATTAGGCACTTGGTATGCAAACTCTCTCAAGAGGAACCTCATACAATACATACCGACCCCATTCTGAAACATAATTCATAAATTACATATATCCAGTCAAATGCAAGTGATCGACAAGTTCCCCAAAGTAACCTAATTACCTAACCTAAGGTTCGTTGAGGAAAACGTATCGTAGCAAAGACTTGAGTTGTCACAAAATTTATCCCCACATAGAGAGTGCTACAGCCTACAGCTATAAGAACAGCAACGGGCAAACCTAATTTTCTGGGCAATACCGCAATAAGAGTAACATGATGCCAAAATTGAGGGGAGGAAGAACCCACTCACTTCCCGTCGAGCTTGCGGACCTCCTCGTCGATCCGCGCGCGCGTAGTCCGGCGGCCAGCGACTCGACCGCGGCGTGCAGGCGGGGAGCCGGCCGATGGATAGATGGAGAGAGACGGCGGATTTGACGGCGTGGAGGACGTCGGAGCGGAGGGCGACCATGGCCGGCGAGGTCGTCGTCGGCGTCGGGATGGGAGAGGAGGAAGAGCTTGCGGGCCGGCACGAGCAACCAGGTGGCGCTCCTGCTTCGCCTCCTCGCCGCCGGCGTCCATGTCGTGCCGGTCACTGACGAGTCTCTCACTTTTTTCAGAACATTTTTTTTTTTTGAGAACAACGAGTCTCTCACTCTCTTGCTGTTGCCGACTGCCGAGCCGAACTGAAAGAGGCCATGGGCCGGTTTCAGCCACGAAATGCTTTTCAGTTCGAAAAAGTTCTCTCCACGTCCCTTATGTACGAGGTAGAGTTTCAATCGCGTCGCCCAATTCTAAAACCAGGTATAAGCAGGGTTTCTTTTCGGAAAGCAAAAAAAATTCGGTAGGCACCATTCCGAACAAAATATTTTGAAATTTTAACACATTTTTTTTACTAAATTTGAATAAATAAACACCAAATTCACAAATATTTGGAAAAAGCAAAAATTCAAAATTAATTTTAATATTTTATAACTTATTTTGTCAAAGAAAATTTACCAAATCATTCTCTTAATGCAACGCGAGAAGGTTTCATAAAGTTTCAAAGAAAAAGTGCTCCCAATCACATAGTAGAGAACAAAACTTAATGAAATTAATAGACATGATATAGCCGAGCTATCATTACTGCAAATTCTGAAAGAATGAGTTAATTAAAAAGCCCTCATTGAGTTGGCATAAAAATTCAAGTTCGATCCTCCATGTAGTGCGCTCCTACTTCTTCATACCTAGAAGACGTTTGAGCGGCTCCAAGGGAAAGCCACAACCATGGTATGAGTTCTTCGTTTCAGGGCTGCTTGCCCCTTCGCCTCGATAAGGAGGTCTTCCAGCCGTAGACCGCTTACTCTTCTTCTGATTTATTAACTTATCTTTCTGCTTTGTCACTCTCGTATTCTGAATAGGAATCGGCAAACAGGTACAACCATCCTCGAAAAATCGAACAACCCTCTTCACCTTACTCACCTTAGTGTCTTTTACCTCATAAGCATTTTCCATAATTGTTGGCCCTACCTGATAGATATTTTCAACACTTCGAGTTGTTCCGCCATGATATCCAGAAAATGTTGGCATCAATACTTGAGGCGACTGGTGATACGGAAGATTTGTGCCGGGATCGATTACAACCGTAGTTCCTCGTTCCATGTCGTATACACACAACACTTTCCCATTGAACCCCGAGTAGTAGACGCAGTTCCCTCTCAAGCCCGTTCCCTCCGTATCAAGTGACGCTCCAAAACTGCCTATCTTAACGAAGAACGCTCTGCCACCTAGCGAATCCACCTTCACCCACGCTGCTGATCTTTGCCCCTGCGTTGTCGTCAGATTAATGCTCAACCTGTAAACGCCTACACGCGCGACAATCCGGTCACATCCGATCGGGTGAGAGAAGACAACGGAGTGCAGCTCCCCGTTTGATTCCACGAAGCAAGTGGTGCGTTTCTTGTACACCGTTGGTCTCCTGTCGTCGTCGACGCCGTGTACGGCGATCTTGGTGAGCGTCAGCTCCGGCGAGAACTCGAGGACGCCGACAAGCCCGTCATCGCCGATGAGGAGTTCGCTGTAGAACTTGCCGTCGATCGCCGTAAACTGGCGTAAAAACCTGATGATGACGTCACGGTGCTCAGTGTTGCTGTGCTGGTACGGATGCTGATGGAGCCTCACCCAGTGGTTGTCGCCGGGGCGGCAATACCAGAGCTCCGTGTCGGCGAGGTCGATGACGACCACGACACAGCTGGTCGGGTCCATGGGACCGCAGCATGAGAGGAGGCACCTCCGGAGATGGCTGCCTTCGGCGGCGAGGACGGTGCCGTCGTGGTCGGGGGGCAGCCCGACACGGCGGCCGGTGAAAGGGTCCCATAGGAAAGTGCACGGCGAGCCGCGGTGCGCCATGAGCAACCAGCCCTGCGCCGTGGCCCACCAGCGGTGGCCTCTCATCATGTCGTCGACGCCGCCGTCGCCCACCCTCGTTGGCGTTGGCGTTGGCGCCAGCAGCGCTCTCTTCGGCACGCTGTAGAGGAACGTGGCGTCGCCGTGGCCGCCGAACAGCAGCAGAGGAGCAAGCTTGGGATCCAGAGCGGCAGATGCGTCGACTGCCTCCTCCATGATTTCAACGGACGGCTGGCCGATCGATCTTTCGGTAATTAATCCTTCGTAGGAGACGGCCGGTCAATCTGTGCTATGCTTTATAAACGAGGAGAGTTTGTGGCAGCCCGATTTAAGTGTTGTCTCGTGATTTCTGTTCGAAATCATCCGAGAGGCTTTGAGAACTAGTATATATATATATTGGCATATAGGAAAGAGAAACGAAGAAATCTGCACGCCTAAATCTGCAGCGCCCATGTAAGTAAATCAGGAAAAGGAAACATGAATTCCTACACGTACGGCATCAAAATTCAAACCAATTATAATCTGCACCGCCGGTAAATCAGTTTTTTGGCACGGCATAGAGACGGATCCTCCACATTACTATGCAACCGACAAAAACCAACCGGGTGGGGTACAAACTATTACAAGCGGAAGCTGACCTATATGTGATGCGAGTCCGGTGGAAACACGTTTCCGAAGAAGCAGTGCAGCACAGAACGCAGCACGCCATGCAGGTCACACGCGTGCCCGAACTCTCGAGATTCTCCAATCTCCAATCACAGAGGCGGCCGCTGCGACGACGGCGGCGCAGCTGGGACAACTGCCGGACTGGTCGTCTCTCCCGTTGGACATGCTCGTGCTCGTCCTGGGTCGAGCCACCCGAGCTTCGTGTATGATCAGTATCATCCGTCGCATGCAGATGCAGTGCATCATCACACATCATCTCCGTCTTGGACATCAAAATTGAGTGGAACTGTAGTGAACCGGTGACCTCCTCCTGAATCATGAATCATGCATCTACGGGCTGTCGTCAGGAGCCGTGCCCTCGTCATCAGCTAAACTTAGTCATCAGCTGAGTGACTAAGTTTGCATGTTTCCGCTGACAGAGATCGATTCAGCGCGGCTAAGGATTCAAGATGCCGTTCCTATCAATCAAGGCGGCGGCGGCGGCACAGAGAGAGCAAGCGAGCGACAAGCTACGGCAGGAAGGAGAGAAGAATTCTAGCACCCGGTGTTAGTATGAGTGGAAGAGGGAAGGACATGGCTTAACGATGCCAAGGGGCGCCGTGGCGAGATGACGGTCGTTCGGCCTCGGCGTGAACCAAGGAGTGGCGCCACGGGCACCGGGGTCGGAGAAGAGGAAGGCAAAAGCGGCGAGCTTGCTCTGGTTTGGCGGCAAAACGGTCGCGGCGGACAGAGGGGTGACGCGCGCGCGGGGGAAACGGCGAGCGGCGCGGCGGTGGAGCGGGAGCGCCGTCCCCGTCCGCACCGGCACATGCGCGACGCGTGCGGTTGCTGGGCCGTGACCGAGCGCTGGGCTGGGTCGACATAGAAAGGAAAAAGTACACCGAAGGTCCCTCAACTTGTCATCCAGTTACAAAATCATCCACCAACCGAAAAACCAGATATAACACACCCCCTAACTTATAAACCAGTAAAAACTAGATCCGACGTGGCGACTGAGTCAGTGTGGGCCTTATATGTCAGAATGCCACGTCAGCAAGCCACATCAGCAGGCCGGCCTGTCCCTTCCTCCTCTCTCTCTCTCTCTCTCACTCACTCTTCTCTCTGGCAGGCCAGCCGGTGGTGGGGAGGAGGTCGCCGAGGCGAGGAGGTCCGACAGCCGGCCGGTGATGTGGCGGCGGCGGCGACGCGGTGGCGGAGACACGGGAGAAGGGGAGGGCGTCGGTAGGGCGAGGCGGCGTTGGCGGGCGAGCGCGCTGGCGGAGAGGCGGTGGCAGCTGCAACGTGGGAGAAGGGGAGGGCGGCGGCGGAGACACGCAAGTGCCGCTTCCCCACGCGCGCGTGCAGGAGACCGTCGCCGCCAGCTACGACAACCTTGTCGCCGCGGCGCACGGGTTCCTCGCCCGGGAGGGCCACATCAACTTCAGTGTCTCCGCCGCGTTCCCCGCCTCTCCCCATCAACTTCGAAGTCATTAGTCGCCGCTTCGAGCTCAACCAAAGAAAATGATCTGTATGCTGGAATGCCCAGAGCTTCCAATTTCACTGTCTGAGATATGTAACCTGTTTGGTTGTTCCAGGTAAATGCAACAAGAAGTTAGTATTTCAGATAAAGTTCCAGAAAAAAAAATGGCGCTATCAAGTTAGTTACTCTAACACTAGGCAAAGTTCCAGAGAAAATGACGCCAAAGTAAACGAATCTAAAAAAGAGCAAAAGAGATACAGAAGTTTCAGTCAAAGAATCTGAAATTCAGCAAAAGTTTCAGAGATTGTGCCAAGTTGGTGACTCTGAAATTCAGCAAAAGTTTCAATGAATGACTGAAATTTAGCAAATGATCCAGCTAATGACTGAAATTCAACAAATTTTCAGTTAATAAATCTGAAATTCTAGGACCAAGTTACGCTGACAGGGACAAGTGAAGCACCGAGTGGAAGATCAGCACAAGAAGATAACTCTGAACAGACAGGACTTTTTGCAAGCTTGCAAAGTGCAGATGCCAATCCTCATGACATCTATTCTTCTTTGGTTAGAGAAGGCCTGTTTGATACTGGTGATGAGATTCTGTCTATGGATACAGGGGAATCTGCTGATACTCCTATTTCAGGCCTAGCGTCAGGTTTAGCAAATCTTGGCACTGCTGATCCAGCTGAAAGGGGCTACTCAATAAACGAGACTACAAATGAGGAGGGATACTTGATTGAAGGGGATGATCCATCACCATCAAACAAAGACGAACAAGATGACCAAACTGATGCACATGGTGAGTCTACGCCAGAGGCCCAGAGCCACAAGATGGCTGCTCCATCTCCCCCAGCTGCCGCCCATCTTCGCCACCGAGCGCCGCCGCCGCGCTTCTCCCCGTCCTCCCCGTCCGCCGACTCCATCCTCGCTGCCTTCGTGACCTGCTGCCGCCGCCGCCGCCGACATGCGCAGCAGTGGGATGGAGGCGAAGAGGCTAGTCAAGGCGCGATTCTCCCGTGCGCTCCGGGAGAGGGCCTTCTTCCTCGCCGGCCTCCGACCGCTCCCCGTCGCACGAACCCTCCTCTCCGCCGCGCTCCGCCCCCCCACCCCCCCCCCCCCCCGGGCGCCGGCGCGCCCACCGGGCGCGGCCCTCCTCCCCTGTCGGCTATGCTCCTCGACAGGACGACTAGAGAAGAGAGAGGAAGAGACGTGGTGACTGGGAGGCTCTTCCCCGTGTGCAATTAAGAAAGATAGTATGGGCTTGTTTGGTTTGAAACCCTACCAAAATATTGGTAGTACCAAACCTTAGGCACATTTTGGCACTAACAAATTTTTTATAGTACAGATTTGGCTCCACTCTATTGATTTGGCAAAATTTGGCTCCAATCCAAAATGCTAACATGTACTATTCAAAACTACCAAAGAATTGGTAGGGCAAGAATTGGCATCAAACCAAAATGGCCCTATATGTCCCTGTGCCACTAAAATATTTGAGCCCTCCCTTTATACCATTGTCGAATTTTATCGCGCCCTCCACACCGTTCCGTTGCTATTCCGTTTAGATTTAACTATTTGGCAGCTCTGACATATGGGCCCGGGTAGAAAAAATGTCGCTCTTGCCCTTTCACTCAGTCTTCTCCCTCGATTCCCCTCTTCTCCCTCAGGCGGTCAGGCCGCCGCCCAGCTGGGGCACCGCGCCGCCGTCGCCTCGGCCCGGTCGTCGTCGTCCTGATCCTCGTCGTCGGTGCGCTGTTCCTCAACCTCGGTCCAACCGGCTCCTCCAGCTTCACCATGCCGTGGATCCGCATGGAGTTCAACGAACCAGTCCACGTTGCGGTGGCGGCTCCGCCTCCGCCGCTGACGCAGATGCAAGCCGGCGTCAACACGAGCGGCGAGGACCTCCGGCCGACAACCTCCGCCTCCGCCCTGACGGCGCGCTCGTCGTGCTCCACGTCCAGCCGCCGCCGAGCATCGCCGCCGGGCTCAACCCCGGACCCATCCCCTTCGGCGGCCCGAGTAAGCAATCTCTCGCACTCGTCTTCGCGGAAATTAGGACGGACACTTGGTCCTGTGGCTGTGAGCTGTGGTTCTTGCGAATTTTTTCGGTCGAGCTGGGTGGGTCTGATGGCTTCCTGGATGTGCCGCGCGGCTGATCAGGCGAGGTCGCTGGCATCACTAGTAGCAAGCATCAATAGTCCTCGCCGCCGTCGGCCGTCGTTGTGCTGGTCCTGGCATCACTAGTAGCAAGCATTACTAGTAGCAAGCATCAACAGTCATGAACACCAGTAGCAAGTATCAATAGTCCTCGCAGCCATAGTTGTGTTGGTCGTCGTCGTTGTTGTCGCAGCGCTGCCGCCCCCGTCGTCGCGCAGCACTGCCGCCGCCGCTGTCGTCGCAGCGCCGCCCCCGTCTTCGTCGTCGTCGTCGTCGCAGCGTTGTTGCCGCCGTCTTCGTCGCGCAGCGATGCCGCCACCGTCGTCGTCGCAGCAATGCCGCCGCCGCCGCCGTCGCAGCGCTGCCCCCGTCGTCATCGTCGTCGTCGCAGCGCCCCGTCGCTGTCGCAGTGCCGCCGTCTTCTCCCCTCCGCTCCTTGGCTGCTGCTGCTGCATCTGAGGGGAGAGAGGAGAGTGCTAGGAGAGAGCATATTGGACCAAAGGGCAACTAAGTCATTTTACTGCGCCATTACCCACCGTTACAACAAAAACAGACGGAATAGTGTGGAGGGCACGATAAAGTTTAACGATGGCAGAGAGGGAGGCTTAAACTTTTTAGTGGCACAGAAGCAGGCACCATCTTTCTTAATGGCATATAGGAAAAAACCTCGTTGACTGGTGAGGAAGAGACGTGGCATCCAGAAATGTGGGGCTCACGTGGGTCCCACGCTGACTCAGCCGCCATGTCAAATAAAACCAGAACAAAACTACTAAAGGATCTAAAATGAACGATTTTGTAAGTTGAAGGATGTCATATATCTGATTTTACGGGTGAGGGATGATTTTGTAACTCGATGACAAGTCGAGGGACCTTCAATGTACTTTTTCCACATAGAAAGGAGAGGCTAGCTAATCGAGTGGAACGATTTGATCCTCAGGCTAGCTAATATAACTCTGTCAAATGAAAAGGACTGCTTTGTATGGTCGCTCTATAAGAATGGTCAATTTTCCGTCAAATCTATGTATGTCGCGATCATGAACTGTAATGTTCGGATCAAAAAGAGAATTCTGTGGGACTTGAAAATTCCACTGGAGATCAAGGTCTTTATGTAGTTTCTTCACAAGAAAGTATTTCTAACGAAAGATAACCTGGGTAAAAGAAAATTGGAGGGGGCGGAGACAAACATTGTTCTTTCTGCTATACACAAGAGACAATCCAACATCTTTTCTTTGAGTGTCATGTTGCTCAGTTTGTTTTTGGAGATGTGTGTTTTTTGTTTTTAATATCCCCCCACCCCGTAACGCCAAAAACATTTTCGATAATTGGCTTAGAGGGGTATCTAGGTCCATTAAGAAGATGATTCTAATTGGAGCTAGCGCTGTATGTTGGTCAATTTGGCGTTGTCGCAATGATAAAGTTTTTAATGGTAAACAATTATCTAACCCTATGCAGGTTATCTTCATGTCTTCCTACTGGCTCCACTTATGGTCTACAATGCTACCACAAGAGGAGCAGGATACTATGCGCAATGGTGCTACACTCTTGGAATCGGTAGCCAAGGGTCTCTTATTCCACTATGGGTGGCGTAGTTTCATAAGAATTGCTAGCTAAAATATTTTATGTGGTTTAACATTAGTCAATAATAAAGGGGAGTTGGGGATTTGTCCCATCACCTTATTTCTCATTTTGATTTACTTTTATCTTACATTTTTATTACTATTAAATTTATGGCTGTGTGTCTTATGACAGAAGCCGGAGATGCAATCCATTTCCATTATCTAAAAAGAAAGGAGAGGCAGCCCACCAGAGGGGAAAATGTTTGACCATTTTCCAGGAAATTATTTGAAGAAATTTGGGGTCTGGTTTGATTTGGACTTGAATTCAAATTGGATATTTGAACTCAAGGGTTCAACAAGGAGTCAAGAAGGTAAACTGAGGTCCCCATCGGTTGGCTTTTTTCCTACGGCTTATTAGGAAATAAAAATGAATTTATAGATAAAACTTTTATATACGTGTTTTTATGACTTAAAAACCAATGGTGAAAAAGAAACTACGTTGAAAATATCTTAAAATTAAGTTTGAAAATTTAACATTTGGCTTTTTCTTTGACTGATTAGGCCATCCGATGGGAGCGTGAATATGAATTCGATATTTTTGGAATTGGGAGAAGTAGATGGCAAGGATTCATAGGAAGGGATATTTAATTGGAAACCTGAATTTTGAGATTCAATTTTGGAATCAAATTCAACAGTACCCAATACATAGAACTCCCTCCTGCATCGCTGTTGCCTGTTGGTTTCCCGCACGATCAAGCGGACGGGTGGGCAAGTGAACGCGGGGAACGGAAATGCTACTGAGCGATCGCCCAGGGCGATTAGATTTCCCCCTCCTCTCCCTCCCTCCCTCCACCTAATTTATTTTTTTTTTCACCATATTACTTTCCTATTTTAGTAAATTTATACACCTAAAGTTTATACACCTCAAGTTTACATATCTAAAGTTTTTTTTGCTAAAAGTTTATATATCCGATTCAAATTTGAATTTGAATTCAAATATTTTTATATATAGTATTTCTATACATCTAAAGTTTATACACCTAAAGTTCATAGACCTAAAGTTCATATATCCGATTCAAATTTAAATTTGAATTAGATCTGATTTAAATTTGAATTTAAATTCAAATATTTTTCATATATAGTATTTCTATACATCTAAAGTTTATAGACCTAAAGTTTATATACCCGATTCAAATTTGAATTTGAATTCAAATATTTTCTATATATAGTATTTCTATACATCTAAACTTTATAGATCCAAAGTTTATAAGTCAAAAGTTTACATACCTGATTCAAATTTGAATTTGAATTCAAATTTTTTATACATAATTTTTTCTAACTTTCTGTTTTTTTTTACCCCCCGCGCGGGGAAGGCGGAAGAGAGAGGTCGCAAATTCAGGATATCTCTTGAAAAAAAGGAGAGAAAATTTTCGTGCCTTAATCCTAGTTACAGATTCCCGAGAAAAGATTTTGAGTATCACAGTCACAGAGACTAGAAGAATGAAGAAAACTTTGGTCAAAAGGAAACTGGGAAAAATACTACTAGTAGTTCATAAACCACTACCATGCACAGAGATTCAAAATGAAGATCAACAAAAGCATCACTAGATCAATCACCTTCAGAACTAAAAAGGCTAGAGATGATTCGTAAACAATTAATTCAAGGTGTCTCAGTCTAGCAAAGTAGCACAACCAAACTACTACTATCAACGGGTCGGTGCTATTACTCGTCTACCACTAACAGGATCAGAATTCAGAATATATAAGTTCCCAATCGGAAAGACCGGAACTGGCAGTGGCGTCGACCTTGACCTCGTCGCCGGTGTTGCTGTCGTCAGACCCGGCATTGGCAGTGGGATCAACCTCCTCGCTGGTGTTAATGAAGAAGTAGTTGTCCACAATGGTGATGGTTGCAGTCGACAACGACACCACGGTGGCTTCGTCGGCAGCCACGGCGGTGGTACTGCTGCTGCCGACGGCAGTGGCAGTGGCGTCGACCTTGACCTCATCGCTGGTGTTGCTGTCATCAGACCCGGCATTGGCAGTGGGATCAACCTCGTTGGCGGGGTCGTTGTTGTCGACATCATCGCCGGTGTGGCTGTCAGTGTCAGTGTCGGTGTCGACCGGCGGAACAGCAGGGTAGGCGCCGGGCTTGAACAGAACCAGGATGACGGTCGTGTTGTCGCCCGATGGCAAGCCAAACTGAACAAGCTCCTCACAGATGACACGCGCTTCTGCACCCTCCTGCATAGCGATATTAATTGGTCACAGCAAGTCAGCAATATTTGGCCACAGCAAAAGGAACAACAGTTTTAACAACGAAACAATCGAGCATGCAAGATATTTTTTTGACGTAAACATGCAAGATATTAGTCACAGCAATATTGATCAAGGCAAAAGGAACAGCAGTTTTAACAACAAAAGAATCGAACAATCACAAAGCAGATGACAGTGTACTTATTAGCACTTGTTTTTTTCTTTTTTAAAAAATCGGATGCTTTATATTGCCTGAGTGAAGTCATTTCCTAGAATTTGACACAAAATATTTTTGCTATTACAGTAGGAGATCTCTTGTCCTGCCAAGAAGACAAACTGAGCAAAAGAAAAGGACTCACCAAAAGACGGTCATGTGTGTGATCAACCACATTTTGATTTGTCATGTTGCACCTGCATGGAAAAAACATAGTACAGTAGGTATGCAACTATAAATGAAACTATATATGCATCAGCAGGAGAAAGAAAACAGCATCACAAAGAGTACTAGTGACATCAAAATGATCAAATAATAATTATTGTCAGTTATTTTTTGTTCAAAATTTACCAGAGGCCTTCAGTTGCTATCACAAGAAACTCCATGTCATCAGTTATGTCCATCTGACGCAGAAAGGGGGATTTTCCATCAGACCCCACAAAGCAGCACAAACTTCATATTCAACCAAATACTAAACAAACATAGTGGCACTTACAGTCAGGATGTCCGGATTACATGTCAGCATTTGATCTTCAGGAGGTAAACGTTCGTTCTTCTTGCAAGCAAAGTCCCCTGAAATGTAAGTGGGTAAAACACATCAGCAAATCACAACATAATATGTTTTTTTTCGGTGCTATTATCTGCAATAAACGAAAAACAGATCCAGGCAAGACTATACCAATTGATCTTGAGATTGATACTCTTCCCTTAAAATCAGTAAAGCCCCATTGTTTCTTGGTTACCCACCTCCCCATTATTTTACGATAACTATGCCCAACAGCTACTCCTCCTGCATTCTGAACTCTCTCTCTTTCAGACTCACTGTCTGGTTTATGATCGACGGATAATGCACTGGCCTTTTGACACAACAGAAACAAGCACAAATGTTAGGCACCAAAATAAGAGAACATGCAAATTAGGTACCAACAAGAAATTCGAAAAGGAAATAGTCACTATACCTGACCATTTCTTGAGAGTACACAACGAGAATCACCAGCATGTCCAACAATCAATTGGTTACCTCTGATGACAACCACACATGCTGTGCTCCCTTCATATGCTGGCTCAGTATAAGTTGCCTGGAAAAAGAAGAAATGAATTGGAGGACATAATAGGGAATCCCAACATAGTTAGAAATACAAGTCAAGCAAGAAATAGCTCACCAAAGCCACCAGACAAAGAAAAACATTTCTGAAAGCCAAACCAGTGTATGAAAGAGATTACCATAGAAGAGATGCCGCAAACAATACCTCAATTTAGGGTAGTACCACAGTATGATAAGAACCAAGGTGCAATGTGAACTTAAGAACCTGTTGGCCTCCAACGCAGTAAACCAGACAATTGATATGTAACTAACTGAACCTTTTTTAATAGGAGCAATTAGTCAAGGTTAGGGTTAAACATATCTCTTCCAACTCCAAAGTACATCTCAAGAAAGAACAATAGTCTCGATATCACACACATTCTTCCATTTCCTTTTTCATAGATACAATATGCACTGTCCAACAAATACAGTTTTGAGTACCTTCAATATATGGATATTAAAAGACGTTCAGGGTTTAAAAGATACCTTGCAAATGCTTGTACAAGCTGCAGCCTTGAGAAAATACATCCATCCATTATTACGAGGAATAACTAACTCCCTCCAAGCATCGGACAGTTGCAGGTCCTCATCCATGCTGCAGAAATTACACAGGAACAATGAAATTCCAAATTTGCAAGTGCAGCATCATTCAGTGCAACAAAATGATATAGACTAGGCGAAAATAACCTGTAAAACGCACTCCTCATCGCATTACTTAGATTGCTGTCGTAGTCTTCATGATTGCAAAGCTCAATATGAAATCGTTTTGCACAATATGATGCTACTTCAGCTCCTGAGATAGAAAATAAACAACTCAGAATGGTGGCTCAAGATTACTCCTATGTGCATATAGAAGCTTATAAAGCAAAACAATGTGATGAACACAGCAGATCAGCACTTCATAGGTATCATAAGAAAAATAGCACCACACATAAATTAACCAACATGTTCATCAGTGGCTATCCTTTTAATTATCATGACTGTTAATATTAACTCACACCCATGCAGTGTTTTATCCCTCGTAAATTAATATTCTGTTTACGCAGTTCATGTTATCCTAGAAAGCACACCGCACATAGGTGATTAGTACTAATTAGCAAACTTGGCTCATTATCCAGAACTGTAGCTTAATATTTATTTGAAAATTGACAGGTAAAAGTTTCAGCATAAACAGTAAAGTTCTCGAAACATGCACATAGATAAACACATGACACACAAAGACAAACAAAGCATGATGTAAACAGTTATGCCGACAATATGGAGGATTTGAAACCAAAAAAAAAGGAGAATGAAGATCAAACCTCCATGGCCATCATAAACACCAAAGAATGACGTCATGGTATCATCAAGATTTAGAATAGCTGCATGCTAGAGAATATAGAGGGCATATGTCAGTCACAGTATTTTACACAATTACTTACAGATCAGTAAGAAATTTTTGCAGAACTATCCTTTTTTTTGTCATACAAAAGGCTGCAAGTTTACTCACAGCATCTTCCATTTTCTCACCCCATCCTTGCATAGACGACACAACATACTTAATTCTGTCATTCTCTTTTTCATCAGTGAACTTTGATTCTACAGGAAGGCTGTTACCCATAGCAGACCTTTGTTTTGCTGAAAATTTATAACATGAATACAAATATACAATAACTTTATTGACAAATATGGAGAAAGAGTAAAGTGAATACAATTACAAAACACTACAGATCAATTAAATACATAAGAGCTTTCGTAAAAACACGAAAAGGAGTCAACTAGACATAACATGATATGACACTATTTATCAGGGCCCCTAAATGCATTTTTGAGACATATAACATGAGATCATCAATCTTCAGTTGCAATGCTGCAGTAATTATACACATTAATCTTATATCTTATACAAGAATCAAGCAAGGAAGAATTAAAATAAAATATTACTGTGAACAAAATGCATACAAGGTTTTGTAAGAACGCCATATAAGCTTTTCTGACACAAATCATAACACCAAATTCCAAAGTGAAATGAAGAGGAAACAAACAGAAAAGGCGTATTGTACAAGGACAATAAATTTCCTCCCGATATGGCCACCTCTTTGGTGTATTAAAACTTCAATAATTCGAAACAGAGTATGAAGTGAACAGAAGAAGAAAAACAGAGACAGCAGCGTGCACTTATAGTAGAATTCAGCAAGGAGAATACAACATGACAGCGTCACCGAGAAGTAAAATATAGGTAACAAACATGAAGAAATTGTACAATCTCGCAGAACCAAAACCGTTGGGCTTAGAAGGATCCCAAATCTAAGATTCAAGAGATGAAAGCTTCTTTGATATGCAAAGAGTCAGAAGATTTCTCATCGAAAAGGGAAAAAAACAACAAGCAGTTTAACCAAGCTACACATGCAGAAATCATTGTATGAACAGAACATGGAGTTCTTTCCAAACAGAAACTAAACCAAGAGAACACGTCAGAGAGACACATAGAGAAAAAGCATCCTGCATCAGGAACAGCCAAAAGAACAAGAAGGCCGATGGCGGCATCTGGTTAATAAATTCTCAGAAACTGAACTCCCGCAACACACCAAAATTAACAGAACAAACTGAAAAATACAAGCAGAGAAGACAAACGAATTCTTCGCGCACGCACTGGTGTAGTCTTTGAGACACACACAGCAAGATCAAGACCAACGTGTTCCAAGGAGAGAAGCGAACGGAGATCACCATGAAGCTTCGGCGCTCATCAACCTTCTCCTCCAACTCGAAGAAAACCACACCCAACCTCAAACTTCAAAACCATCAAAGCAACAAAAGCACGGGTACGGGAAACCAAGAACAAGAGGGAAAAAAAAAAGATCAAACCGCTGTGAACCTTGCCCCAAGTTTCGGGTGCCGAAACGCCTCAAGATTCAAAGAGAGGTCGAGACGCGGTTGCTGCTCGATCAAATGCCACACAGCGAAGACATGATCGAACCAGAGAACCGCGATACCAAACACGGCCAAGAAAAATCGTAGAAAATTCGGATTCCGAAACGCCTTAAGATTCGAGACGAGAAGAGAACAAGGCGCGGTGCTACTTGATCAGTCGTAAGGAAGACGGGCGTATAACGTATTGCATCAGGAACAGCAAAAATAATTTGGTTGATACAAATTCAGAAAGTGACACCTCCGCAACACACCAAAACAGAAGCGAAAAAAAAAAGCAGAGAAGAGAAACGAATTCATGGCGTCTAACTTCTCGCGCACGCACTGGTCGCGCCAGGAACCATCAAGATCAACCTCCATGAAGTTCCGATGGGAGAGAGGCGAACGGAGACCACCATGAAGTTCCGGTGCTCGTCAACCTCCTCATCCGACTCCAAAAAAAACCACGCCTCAAATGCATCAAGCAACAACATCACGGGTACAGGAAGCCAAGAACACGAAAAAAAATAGAGAGGATCAGAGGGCGGTAAAGAGGTTCAAGTTTCGGATGACGAGACGCCTCCAGATTCAAGCAAGATTTCGGATGTCGCTCGATCAATGCCACTCAGCGAAGATAAGAACGAGAGAACCGCGACACGAAACACCAAGCAAACAAACACCACCACCAATGGAAAAACGAATTGATGTGGTTTAATTTCTCGAGCTTGCACTGGTAGAAATAGAGAAACGGAAGGCAAGATCAAGACCAACGTGTTCTGAGGAGAGGCGAACGAGATCACCATGAAGCTTCGGTGCTCGTCAACCTCCTCATCCAACTCTAAGAAAACCACGCCTCAAATGCATCAGGCAACAACATGTCAACATCACGGGTACAAGAAGCCAAGAACACGAAACGAAAAACAAAAGGATCGACGAAACGCCTCCAGATTCAAGCAAGAGTTCGACGCGCGGTGCCGCTCGATCAATGCCACTCAGCGAAGACAAGAACGAGAGGACCGCGACACGAAACACCAAGCAAACAAACATCACCACCACCAATGGAGCAAGATCGAAGAAGAGTAGGGAGAAGAATCTCACGGCGCTTTCGGAGAAGTAGGGTTTAGGGATGGAGGCGGCGGACGAAACCACAGAAGAGGAGGGGAGGATGAAGTGAGAGAGAGATCTCACCTCCCACCTTTCGCCGCTGCGCTCTTGACACCCCCGAGAGAGAGAGAGAGAGGAGAGATGCGGAAAAGTGGTTGTGCTGCGAAGCGCAAATAGTTGTGCTTAAATACCTGGATCGTCGACGGCTGATCCAACGTCGAGGAGTGCCCCCATCCTGTGGCTGGTGGTCCCCACAGATCGCTCCCCCTGCACGGACGTATCTCCTCCGTCGGTTCGTCCCTCGCGGCTGATCCAACGCTCGAGGAGTGCCCCCATCCTGTGGCTGGTGGTCCCCACGGATCCCTCCCCCTGCATGATCCATCCACATGTAAATTTTCAACTACCCTTAAAAAAAAAACCAATCCCACCTACAATATGTCTAGATTCGTAGCTAGGAGTTTATTTTTTTTCTTTCTTTTGACAGAGTAGAAGCTTCGTATAATTTTCACACACAAGCTGGATCAGGATGACTTCCATACAATTTCAACACGATCATGTTCTTTTGTATGACTGACGAAAATTCTAGTATTTCAAATCTCAGATTAAAAAAAAAATCCTGTAATCAGGGGCGGATCCAACGTGGGTGCAGGGGGGACTCAAGTCCCCCCTACACCCACAAAACCCATGGATACCCTCCGGAGTACCCCGTTCGATTTTTTCACCATAAATGATAAACTAAAAAGTCCCTAAATGGCTCAAGGTTGAAGAAACTGTGTAATTGAACTCCCCCAATCTTTTGTTCCTGGATCCGCCCCTGCCTGTAATACGATATGATCAAGCCTAAGCAGAACTAGCTGAGCAGGAATTTACATGGCAAGATAAGTATATGTTTATTTACAACTTAATCTAGTACATCGATTCACATCATGTTCGCAAAATGGTATGATGATATTATCAAGCTTAGAAGGTAGAGAGACCTGCTTCCGCTGGCTTTGCTGTGATCCGCCGATTCCAGTGCTCGTGATGTCTGAAGGGCCATCTCAGAATGGAGCCGCAGGCAGCACATACCCATCTACAAGACAAACATGCCAATGGAAGAGTCAGATGACACTGTAAAATGTTATTGAGTTTCCAGCTTGATTGGTTTCTCTTTATACGATAAAAAGAAGTCCTGTTTTTCTTTACAAATTGCTGAAAAGATCTGGATCACTGAATGAGTATAATATTAGACTAAAGGAATGAGAGGAAGGAGTAGGTTACTGAAAACTAAAGCATATGATGAGTGACATTAGCTCTTTATTTTTCAGATTGTGAATCATATCACAGTGAAATTATCCATTCTTTCAAACTAAAATCAAAGGCAATGCAGACGGAATTCGATATAACATTTGTCCTTCATCTTTCGCCGCTACTGCTCTTGAGATGAGAATGTGTGAGAGAGGGAGAAGCAGAAAAGTGGTTGTGCAGCCAGCCAAGCGCAAGGAAAAGCAGCATTGCGCTTAAATACCTGCACCAGACGCATCTCGGCCGTTGGATCGTCCCTCGCGGCTAATCCAACGCTCCGGGAGTGCCCTGTCCTGTGGCTGGTGGTCACCATGGAGCATGCACCTTCCTCCTCCTCCTCTCGCCCTGCAAGACCCGTTCACATGTAGTAATTTTCTTTTGCTCAACTAATCAGTTCAAAGTTTTCAAACATAGTAGTAATCTGGAACAGACGTTTCACATAAATCAATTCATGTTGGGAATTCATGTTCTATGTATAAATGACGAAAAATGTAGCACTCTGAATCCCAAATACATTGATCGATTTATATTTCTAATCCAGTACATTGATGGTATCAAGCTTAAAAGGCAGAGACCTGCAGCTGCTGGCCATGCTGTGATCCACCGATTCAGTGCTTGTGATGTCTGAAGATCTCAGAACGAAGTTGCAAACAGGTCATAATGGCCTGCAAGGAGACAGACATGCCAATGGAGGAGTTAGATGACATTGTGAGAAGTTACTGAGTTCCAGCGTACTGAAATGGTTTCTCATTATACGTTTTTTTTTTTGAAAAAAAAGAGTCCGAATTTTCTCTACACATTACTGAAAAGAGCTGGATCACTGGTTGAAGTAGAAGACTTAAAGGAATGATAGAAAGAAGTATGTCACAGGAAACTAAAGCATAAGGTGGGAGTTATTAGCTTTTTATTTTTCAGATGGTGAATCATCTCAGGGTGAAAGCACTCTTCCTTCAGGATAAAATTAAAGGCGACGCAAATGAATTTGATATAAAGTTTACCCTGAAAACCTGTACTTTGTTGGTTGAAAAATAACCCTGTTAGTATTATGTGCTGAGCCTATTGTACTATAATTCCCCCCCCCCCCCCCCAATAGTGACCAAAATACATACTGATATGTGCATTCTGTATCAGGATCAGCTTCTGCAACATGAAGAACCCATATGTGTATGTAGAATGTCCTGATTTCCTTCTATAAGAGCTGATGAGACATACAACAGGTGCAGCGCTATCAATATGCAAGAAGCTGCAAACAACACAGACCTTCTGACATATGCTTCAGGATGTTGTCAAACAGCTCTGTAGAACAAAATTTGATGTCAAAATGGTAACTTACCAATAAAATTCCTTAACAGGGAAATGTTTGTTTAGGCTTGGCATACCTAGATCTGATCATATCAAGAAGACCTGGGGCAACAGCTGATGCTTCCGGATGCATTGCCATGCACTTCATACAGACACCGAGCATGTATATCAATTTACCTCGGACAACAAAGTCCCGATTGAGGAAGTCAATACCATGTGATCTTTTATCATATTCTTGCATGACTAGGAACATAAAAGCAGCAGCATAAGCATACAAAGGAAATTTGTTTTTGGACCACTCCGACTGCAAATCTTTAGTTTTTCCAAGACGCGATTTACAAGATTTCCCTGATTTAACTTGACATGATAGATGAAACTCTTTCATACCAGTGTGACCAATTCAGAAGTGTCCTGATTATGAGACTTCCCTCCAAGGACCTGCAACAGGAGGTCCCCTGTCACTGAAGTAGCTAAATTTCGAGCATGTACTTTGTCAACCAGGTCACAGGGTAAAGTATAGAGATATACAGATTTATACCTTCTCCCCAACCCTTATGAAGTACAAGGATTTGGCTATATGGGCCTCACGCACTTCAACCTCACCCAAATTCTCTTCAGCGTCAGCAATTCTTGATACATGAAAAATAATTACTTTCAGAGGAAGCAATGATTCTTATCAAACTTGCTAGTAACTGAAACATTAGATACAGAACAAATGCGGAGAGCAGCACGGAAGATATATGCGACCAGCTAAAAGGGCATGTGTTGATGTCTGGAACCAAAGGATACTATTTACGCTCTAATGAAGTTCTATATCTCGACTTTCCTTCACATTAGTTCACATTGGGTTTTATCCTTGGTGACGAGGGTGCAGAAATTTTTATATTGGTTGGGAAGTTGTGAATTGTGATCCTTAGGAATCTATATTGGCATATTGCTTTTCTACAAGCCCAATTACACCTGTTCGTTTAGGCAAACGAATCGTAGCAAAGACTTGAGTTGTCACAAAATTTATCCCCACATAGACTTGAGTTGCCTACAGCCATAAGAACAGCAACGGGCAAACCTAATTTTCTGAGCAATAAGAGTAACACGACCCGTCGATCCGCGGCGCGCGTCTCGGCCAGCAGCGCGTCGTCCGGCAGCCAACCCCGCATAAAAAAAGAAAAGAAAAGAAAAACCAAAACACGTCAGCTACCGGCGTGCAGGCGGGGAGCCGGCCGATGGATGGAGAGAGAGAGAGGGAGAGAGACGGCGGTGCGGTGCCGTACGGCGTGGAGGACGTCGGAGCGGAGGGCGACCATGGAAGGCGAAGCACCATCAACCCGGTGGCGCTCCTGCTTCTCCTCCTCGCCGCCGGCGTCCATGTCGTTCTCGTCGGAGTGGGTGTTCCGGTTGGGGAGGGATTGAGGGTCTCTCACTTTTTTTTCAGAACTTTTTTTTAGAACAACGAGTCTCTGACTCTCACTCTCCGGTTTCAGGCAGGAAATGCTTTTCAGTTGGAAAAGTCCACTTCCGTCTCTTATGGAGGAGGTCGAGTTTCAATTGCGGCCCTCAATTCTAAAACCGGGTATAAGCAGGATTTTTTCTTTCTAAAAAGCTAGAAAATTTCGGTAGGCACCACTCCAAACGAAAATTTTTGAAATTTTAACACATTCTTTTACTGAATTTGAATAAATTATTGCCAAATTAACAAATATTTGGAAAAACAAAAGGTCATAATTAATTTTAATATTTTCTAACTTATTTTATCAAAGAAAATTTACCAAATCATTCTCTTAATGCAACGAGAAGGTTTGGTTTCATAAAGTTACAGAGAAAAAGAGCTCCCAATCACTTAGTAGTGGCCAAAACTTAATGAAATTAATAGACGTCATATAGCCGAGCTAACATTACTGCATATTCTAAATGAATGAGTTAACTAAAAACACACTCATCGAGTTGGCATAAAAAGGTAAGTTGGATCCTCCATGTAGTGCACTCCTACTTCTTCGTACCCAGGAGACGTTTGAGCGCCTCCAAGGGAAAGCCACAACCACGGTATGAGTTTTTCGTTTTGGGGCTGCTTGCCCCTTCGCCTCGACAAGGAGGTATTCCAGCCATGGACCTCTTACTCTTCTTCTGATTTATTAACTTATCTTTCTGCTTTGTCACTCTCGTATTCTGAATAAAAATCGGCAAATAGGTACAACCACCCTCGAAAAATTGAACATCCCTCTTTACCTTATTTACCTTAGTGTCTTTTACCTCATTAGCATTTTTCAGAATTATTGTCCCTACCTGATAGATGCTTTCAACACTTCGAGTTGGTCTGCCGTAACATCCTGCAGGAAATGTTGGCATCAATACTTGAGGCGACTGGTGTCACGCCCCGAACTAGTCCCGACCGGAACTAGCCCGTGACGCTCCAAATTAACCTGTTATTCGATACCAGTCCCAGGAAACAGTGCTGGTATCACAGGGAGACAGAATATCACAGCAACAGAGGTCTCTTTATTATAGAGTAGAGGTACAGTCATGTTGGGCTGCGGACAGATCCCGAGCTCACAACTGCATTACAAAAGGGAAACGGAAGCCAGGACTTGGACCAAACAACACAGGCGCGACTTGGGAACTAGGCCGAAACCCTAAAACTCATCGTAGCCGGCTTGCTCCTGGAAGAACTACTCATCAGCAGCTTCCGCTTCATCTTCTTCAGCAACTGGGGGGGGAGGATTATTTATATAGAGCAAGGGTGAGTACGGGAGTACTCAACAAGCCATGGGAAATAAGTGTTTAATGCAGGCTTCGAGGAAAGGCTGTTGTTTTTGCAATTGATTTTATTTGAACTCTTTTCTAAAAACAACTAAGTGAGTGCTTCTCAAACGACACGGATGAGACAGTGCGTCTCGTCCGCTCGGAGTATGTGCAATGTATCAGTCTTTAGAATTGAATCAAGGTTGGCACCCGGCCAACAGTTTTTCAAACGGCCACCCGGGCCAACAACTTTCAAACGGCCACCCGGGCCTAGCTGATCCCATCAGCTGCAGATTTTTCAAACATCGAACCCCTTTCCACAACCGTAATTTCACAAGCAGTAGTCAAACAAAACTACGCTAGGAATCACCTCACATCCGCCCATGACCGTGGGCACGGCTGTTCGAACAGTTTGTTAACCTCTGCAGAGGGGGTACACTTTACCCACACGACATTACTAACCCGGATCACCCAGCCCGTGGGAATCAGCCACATCGGGAGACCTCCAAGCTTTCATAACAAGGCATTTCCAAAGCCGACACAGGTTTACCATATGCCGACGAGAGGGGTCCCAGACCAACAACAGGTTAGGTCCCAGACCATACTGTGCCAGGAAGCCCAGAGTCCTCCCCGACACCACCTCGGCGAATCCACATGTCTCTCGGCATCAAGGCTCCCCTGATAAGCTAGTTACTCAGCTAGGGGTGTCCCATTCCACCCATATGGTCGTACTTGTCTTATGTTTGGATGAAATTCCAAGGAAACGGTCCTTAAGTGCAAGAGCGGGAAACCGTACTCCCGGTACGTTCCCCGGTCCGCGGTTTTGGAAATTCATTTAGTTCGCAAGCACCGACCCAGGTGCCGGGTTTTCCAAGTCTTTTGTAAAACCCAAGTTTTACCCAAGTTGTTATTCAAATTTTAAGTTTGAAGGCGTCCGTCGATACTCGCACAGGGTGCACGAATATCGAGACACAACTAGATGGATACAAGGGGACATGATATAACAATTAACAAAGGAAGGATCAAATGCAACAAACTAGGTAGGTCCGCCAATCTGCCTTGCAGACGGGACAAACAGATTAAGTGCGGTCCTATCAATGCATAATATTTTTCAAGCAACATAATTAAATTTCAAATATAGGCTCAAGATGTTCAAAGGTGGCTTGCCTTGCTCGAGATCTGGAGCTTGATCCTCGAAATCCTCGCACTGCGGGTCTTCGGGCTCCGAAACTACACGCGAAACGGGACAACTCAACAAACGGCGAAAATAAAGCCCTATTAATGACCTCTAAGCGTGCCATTAGATAGATCTCGAGATTTGAGGAATTTTGGAAGTTGAACGGAGTCAAACGGATTTATGGTTGGGAAGATATTGAATTTCTAAGATTATTGGATTTTTGGTCTAAAGGAAAAGGATTTAATTAAATCCTTTTTGAAAAGAAAATAAAAGAAAAGAAAAGAGGGAGGGAATATAGACTTTTCTCGGGCGGCTAGGGCGCGGCCCGAGAGAATTGGGGCGGTCTGGCCGAGCTAAATGGGCCGGCCGGCCCAAGGCGCGCGCTCGCGCGGGAGGGAGGAGAGAGAGAGAGCCGGTGGACCGGGCTCACCGCGCGTGGTCCCGGGTGGGACCCACTTGTCGGTGACTCCGTTCACCGTGCGGAGCGAGCACGCGGCGCGCGCGCGCGGGCGGGGCTGGGACGCGGTGCACGCGCGCGGTTCGCGGAGGAACGGATGCGGCGGGCCCACGCGCAGCCTCACGGCTCGCGGTAGAACGTGCGCACGGGAGGGGCTGACCGGGGTCGGCCCGACCCGACCTCGGTCGAGCTGGCGCCGACGTGGCGCCTACGTGGCTGCCACGTGGGCTGGCGGGAGGAAGACGAAGGCGTCGGCCGCGAATGGACGGCGGGCGGTGGCGGTTTCTCGGGGACGCCTTGCGATGATGAGGGGCGACGGGGCGTACACCGGGATGACGAGGGAGAGTGAGAGGGAGCGAGCTAACGGCTCGGATTCGCCGGAGGGAGTCCGTCGGCGGCGGATTGCGGCGGCGGCACCCGGCGGAAAGAAAAGGGGGAAACGGCGACGAGGTCACGAGGGGCCAAATCCCGGCGGTGAGAGCATCTACGCGGCCACGGGAATCCGTTGCTAGCGTCGGATTGGGCGGAGCTACGCCGAGCGAGGCCGGCGACGAGCGGGTGCTACGGAGCTCGGGCGGCGACGGCGGCCAGCACACAGCGAGCGACGGCAACGGTCGGGGCGGCGCCGGCTAGCTACGGGGAGGCTACTCGAGCTACTACCGAAAACTAAGGGGGGGAGATGGAGCGAGGAGGAAGAACGGAGGGAGGCACTACCGAGATGAGGAGGGGCGCTGTGACGAGAGGCCGACGGCGCGAGAGTAATCTCTCCGGCCTCGGGCCGGGGAAGAGGAGGAAGACGAGCGCCCGGAGTCCCCTTCCGCGTCCTCGCTTGTGCCGGTTCCTCCGACGCGCGCAACGACGAACGGCGACAGCGAAACAGAGGGGCAGCAACAATGGAGTGGAGGCGATGGGAGGAGAAGAGAGGGAGGGCGCCCGGGGCCTTAAAGGGCGGCAATGTCGGTTTGGAAACCGACTTGGGCGGTCAAGGCGCGAGCTGGCGCTCGGCACTCGCGTCCAATCGGCGACAGGGCGGAGGGAGGATGACGCCGGCGGGAGGAAAAGGGGAAAAAGGAGGGAGAGAAAGGGGGGGCTCGCCCCTTTCTTCTTTGGGAAAAGGAGGAGGGGAGCGGGGGCGTCGCGGCAGAGGGAGGAGGGCTCTGCCTCCGTTCCTTGGCGGCTTGCGCGCGGAGTGGCGGGGCCGAGGCGATGACGACGGCGATGACGGCGGGGCGGTTTGGAGTGGAGCGGCGACACGGGCGACAGGCGTGGGCAGGCGCTGACGACGGCGGCGACCAGGCGGTCGGCCACTCGGCACGCGCGCGCGGCTTGCAACGGGAGGCGCGGCGGATGGAGCGGCGCGGCTCGGGCACGCGCGCTGGCTGCGGGGCCGAGCGGCGGCGCGGCTGCAGGCGGCAGGGCAGCGGGACCGGGTGACGCGGACGGCGTAGACGGCGCGGCACGGGCGGCAACCACGCGGGCGCGCGCGCGAACGAGCGCGGGGAGCGGCAGCGAGGGAGCGAAGAGGAGGGCTCGGCTCGGCGCGGGCGGCTCACGCGCACGCGCGCGGGCAGAGCGGAGGGGGAGGGGCGCTCGGCGCGGGCGGCTCACGCGCATGCGGGCAGAGCGGAGGGGGAGCGCTCGGCGCGGCTCACGCGCTCGCGCGTGCAGCGCGCGGGCGGAGCGGAGCGGAGGGAGAGGAGGGAGAGAGAGCGAGAGAGAAAGGGAGAGAGCGCCGGGAGGGAGGGGGAGATGGGCCGAGAGGGATTCGGCCCATCGACCCCGGGGGAGGCAAACTAGACTTTTGCGGAGGAATTTGATTTGGAAGGATTTGGATTCGGAATTGAACTCGATGATAGATCGGGGATTTGAGATCTGAGATGGCACGGACACTACACAACGAGCAAGGAAACAAATTTCGCAATTAGGGTTTTTAAGAGATAATTTTCCCGCTAGGCGCCACGACGGAACGGGCGCTACAACTGGTGATACGGAAGATGTGCGCCGGGATTGATTACAGCCGTAGTTCCTCGTTCCATGTCGTATACACACAATACTTTTCCATTGAACCCCGAGTAGTAGACACAATTCCCTCTCAAGCATGTTCCCTCTGCATCAAATGACGCTCCAAAACTGCCAATCTCAACGAAGAACGCTCTACCACCTAGCGAATCCACCTTCACCCACGCTGCTGATCTTTGCTCCTGCGTTGTCGTCGGATTAATGCTCAACCTGTAAACGCCTACACGCGCGACAATCCGGTCACATCCGATCGGGTGAGAGAAGACAACGGAGTGCAGCTCCCCGTTTGATTCCACGAAGCTAGTAGTACGTTTCTTGTACACCGCCGGTCTCCTATCGACGTCGTGTACGGCGATCTTGGTGAACGCCACCTCCGGCGAGAACTCGAGGACGCCGACAATGCCAGAGAGTTCTTCGGTGTAGAACTTGCCGTCGATCGCCGTAAGCTGGCGTAATCCCCAGATGATGGCGTCACGGTGGGCAGGGTTGCGGTACTGGTACGGATGTTGATGGAGCTTCACCCACTGGTTGTCGCCGGGGCGGCAATACCAGAGCTCCGGGTAGGCGAGGTCGATGACGAGCACGGTGCAGCTGGTCGGGTCCATGGGACCGCAGCATGACAGGAGGCACCTCCGGCGATGGCTGCCTTCGGCGGCGAGGACGGTGCCGTCGTGGTCGGGGGGCAGCCCGGCACGGCGGCCGGTGAAAGGGTCCCATAAGAATGTGCACGGCGAGCCGCGGCGCGCCATGAGCAACCAGCCCTGCGCCGTGGTCCACCAGCGGTGGCCTCTCATCATGTCGTCGACGCCGCCGTCGCCCACCCTCGTTGGCGTTGGCATTGGCAGCAGCGCTCTCTTCGGCACGCTGTACAGGAACGTGGCGTCGCCGTGGCCGAACAGCAGCAGAGGAGCAAGCTTGGGATCCAGAGCGGCAGATGCGTTGACTGCCTCCTCCATGATTTCGACGGACGACTGGCCGATCGATCTTTCGGTATACGAATTTGTGCAGTGTTTTAGAAATCCTACAAGTGTTGTCTCGTGATTTCTGTTCCAAATCATCCGAGATAAAGAAGCGATTTAATAGTAGTACAAGTCTACAAGAGATAAAGAAGCGAAGAAGTATGCACACCTAAGACCTACAATCAGTAACTCCTACCAATTATAATCTGCACCGGCCTGTAGATCAGGAAAAGGAAACATGAATTCCTACACGACATCAAAATTAATTGTACTAGTACTCCAGTATGCATCTATTTGGAGATTGGATAGCAAACTAACAAAAACTACAAGCGGAAGCCGACCTATATTACGCCGTGCAGGCCATCGCGGACACGCACGCACGCACGCACGAACTCTCGCGTGTGGAACACCAGCCAGGCCGGCGAAAAAGAAGCGGAAGCAGATGGACTGGTCGTCTCTCCCGTTGGACATGCTCGTGCTCGTCCTAGATAGGCTCGGGTGGTCGAGCCACCCGAGCTTCGCGTCGACGTGCCGGCACTGGCGCTCCGCCGTGTCGCCCTTCCGACGGCGGCGGATTGCGGCGGTGTTCGTCGGCGGCGGCAAAAGAGGGAAAGCACGACGTGACGACGAGGGTTCGATTTCTTGAAGCTAGAGCAGACACACGACCACCGGGACTCGTTCCTAGCGTCGGATTGGACGAAGCAGAGCCGAGGAGGGCAAGCGACGGGCGGCAATGGCGGCGAGACCATGCCGAGCGGCGGCGGGGCTTGGGGTGGCGCCTACTAGCTATCGGGTGTGCTACGGGGAGGAGGGAGAGCGAGGAGGGGGAACGGAGGGGATACCGCGACGGGACAGGGCGCCGTGAAGAGAGGACACGGCGCGAAACGTGATCGTTTTGGCCGAGGAAGGGGATGAAGCGGGAGCGCGGAGTTCACGTCACGCGTCCACGAACGCGCCAGCTCCTCCGGCACGCTCAGCGACGGACGGCGACAGCGAGACGACAATGGTGTGCGACAGCGGTGGAGAGTGAAAACAAGAGAGATTGGGATGGCGATGTCGGTTTGGGAGGGGAGAACCGACCTTGGGCAGTCAAATGGCTCGGCTGGCGCTCGGCGCACGCGGCCAAATCGGCGACAGAGGATGACGCCGGCGAGGGGAGGAAAAAGAAGAAAAAGAAGAAAGAAAGGGGGGGCACTCCTTGCCAAAACGGGAAAGGAAGGAGGGAGAAGGAGCGATGAGGCAGGGCTCTACCTCCATCCCTTGGACGCACGCGCACGGAGGGCGGGGCCGGAGTGGATGACGCCGGCGATGACGGCTAGGGGCGGTGTGGAGCGGAGCGGCTACAGGGTGGCAGCGCGGGCACAGACGGCACAGGCGCGGCAGTGTTAGATAGTATAGGGAGAGAGGATACTGCGAATATTGGACACATTGTATTGAGCCTCAGGGGGGCCGATATATATAGGAGTACATGGGGAGAAGATAAGGAAGAATTACATATATGGAAGGAATCCAAACAAACCAATCCTATCCTAATATGACTCTAACTACCATATACTCTAACATCCCCCGCAGTCCAAGCGTGAGCAGCGCGGACACTTGGACTGGAGAAGAAACCGGAAAGAGTACTCAACACAGATGATAGCCCTTTGTGCCATAGTCGATGTAACCAAAGCGAAGGAGCCGAGAGAGCCGTGGTTGATGAAGCCGTGCGTAGAGTAGCCGTGGTCGATGTAGCCGAAGTCGGGAAGTCGATGATGTCGAGGTAGTCGAGCCGTAAGGCGCAGGGGGCGTCGTAGAGTGGTCGTGGATGGACGGGAGGGCATCGTGGACCAATGGTGCGTGAGGACGCGCTGGAGACGAAGACGGTGATACAATCGCGGCGGTCGTTGAGGAAGATGACGCCGAAGAGCCAATGTAGTCGAACCGTAAAGGACGAGACGTTACACAGGGCTTGCCAGACCCCGGGACAACTCGGGACAAACGCGCGCGCCGGTGTTGCCAATACCGCGCGGGCGAGACAGGAGACCACCATGAATCATACGCCAATGTCGGAGGAGACTAGCAGAGAAGGCCTCTGGGACAGTCGCAGCGCGAGAACGGCGTAGAGGGAGAATTGCCGGAGCAGCACGCAGTTGCCGGAGAAGAGCGAAGTGTAGTCGAGGAAGATACGGCGACGCTGGCGATGAGTCATGCTGGACAAAGTAGAAGGCGAAATAGCGGGACCAACGGCCTGGACGGCGACATCGGTAGCCATGTAGAGGTAGCTGCACCACCGGCCTAGAGTGGCGACAGTGGCAGCTTGGAGATGCGGCGGCGATGCTTGAAGTAGAGGAAGGAGACCCCGAGCGGCTGACTATGACCAGTGCGGACGACGAGGTTGTCGATGCGCGAACGGCGATGAAGACGACGAAAGTGGCAAAGCTATGGTCCGAGAGGACAGCACAGCTGCAGCTCCATGTCGATGCAGCGGCGAGAAGTCCACCGGCGGTGAGGCCACGCTGAGAAGGGCGCCTCTCAGCGTTGCAATAGCCAATGGAGGTGTGGACCATAGGCAGCGGCACTGCGGCCCAAGGAGGCGACACAGCGGCAACCCAGAGCTTGATGGCGTAGACGCATGCTCGATGACGATCGGTTACAGAAGTCGTTGTAGTCGGACGCTTGAACGGGTGATCAAGCCGAAGATGCGCGGGGCAGGACGACGAAGTCGATGCCGATGTCAGAGACGCGTAGATATCGACGAGGCGGTGGACGACGCAAACCCGATCTCTGATCGGGAAAAAAAAAGATACATGCAGCAGCAAGCAGCACAGTAACAACCAGCCCTACGTGCTCAAATGGTCCGTAGACCAAGTCCACGTCCAGCAACCTCTCTGCCTCAACTGTACCAGCAGCAGCGACACATGCACAATCGGTTCCCTCCACAGCCAGCCAGCCAGCCAACAAGCTCTCTGCAACCATCTTCTCTCTCTCTCCTCTCCCTTGCTAATCACGTGTAAGATCACAGCAAAGTGACGGACAACCAAACAATACAGGGAGCGAGAGGCAAGATAGACGCGGACGCGTAGGGGCTGACCGGCGGCAACGACGAGGGAGCTGAGTCCGGAGGCGTCGAGGCCGCAAGCGGCGACAATGGTGCAGATCCTGGCGGCGAGGTGTCGGGCCGCGCGCCCGTGCCAGAGACGCCGGACCAGCAGCGTCTTGCCGGCGACGAGGCAGAAGGCAGGCGGAGAGGCGGTGAAGACGTCGGTCCATCCCCCCGGCGGAGCTTGATGAAGACAGCGGTCGAGGCGGAGACAAGGTCGTCCGTCGGCCGCGGAGCCCGGCGGAGGTCGATAAGCCGACGGTGGCCATCGGAGGTAGGGGCGGTGGAGGCGGCGGACCGGAGGTGGAGGACGAAGTGCAGACTGATGATGACCGGAGACTCTGCTACTGCCGCTTGATGACGACGCAAGCGTCCGAGAGATCGATCTCTCTCGGGACATCGACTTGACGACGCGAAGGAAAAAAAAACGGTGGCCGCCCCAGGAGATTGAAACCCTCCCGAGGGCGACGAGCGGAAGCGTGAGAGAGAGGCGACTAGATCGTCTGCTCTGATACCATGTTAGATAATATAGGGAGAGAGGATACTGTGAATATTGGACATATTGTATTGAGTCTCAGGGAGCCAATATATACAGGAGTACATGGGGAGAAGATAAGGAAGGATTACAGATATGGAAGGAATCCAAACAAACCAATTCTATCCTAATATGACTCTAACTACCATATACTCTAACAGGCAGGGCTGACGGCGGCGGCGACCGGCCGGTCGGCCACCACAGTGCACGCGCGGCAACAGGCGGCGCGGCAACTTGGGTGTCGTTGGCGGGAAATCGGGGAGAGAGAGAACAAAGAGAGAGCAAGAAAATGAGAGAGAGGGCTCTCTCTCGGCTCGGCTCAGCGCACTCGCACGGCATGTGCGAGAGGAGGGGATGGGCTGAGGGAGAAGATGTGCCGAGGGAGGGAGCTCGGCCCACAAAACTTTAGGGAGGCGAAATAGACTTCTGTCGAGAGATTTGATTTGGAGGGGACTTGAAGTTGGAATTCGAACTTGACGATGGATTGGGGGATTGGGATCTGACGATGTTAGCTAGGCGCTACGACGGAACGGGCACTACACAACGAGGCTTTCTCAGGAAGAAAGCAGATTGGGGAGCTGTTAAACACCTAAAAGAAAAAAGAAGATGGTTTCATAAAATTTCAGAGAAAAAGAGCTCCCAATCACATAGTAGAGACCAAAACTTAATGAAATTAATAGACGTGACATAGCCGAGCTAACATTAGTGCATATTTTGAATGAATGAGTTAACTAAAAAAACACTCATCGAGTTGGCATAAAAGGTAAGTTGGATCCTCTATGTAGTGCACTCCTATTTCTTCATACGCAGAAGACATTTGAGCGGCTCCAAAGGAAAGCCACAACCGCGGTATGAGTTCTTCGTTTCGGGACTGCTTGCACCTTCCCCTTGACAAGGAAATCTTTCAGCCATAGACCTCTTACTCTTCTTCTGATTTATTAACTTATTTTGAATAGGAATCGGCAAACAAGTACAACCACCCTCGAAAAATCGAACATCCCTCTTCACCTTACTTACCTTAGTGTCTTTTACCTCATAAGCATTTTCCTGAATTGTTGGCCCAACCTGATAGATGCTTTCAACACTTCGAGTTGCTCCGCCATGATATCTAGGAAATGTTGGCATCAATACTTGGGGTGACTGGTGATACGGAAGATGTGTGCCGGGATCGATTACAGCCGTAGTTCCTCGTTCCATGTCGTATACACACAACACTTTCCCATTGAACACCGAGTAGTAGACGCAGTTCCCTCTCAAGCCTGTTCCCTCCGCATCAAGTGACGCTCCAAAACTGCCTATCTTAACGAAGAACGCTCTGCCACCTAGCGAATCCACCTTCACCCATGCTGCTGATCTTTGCTCCTGCGTTGCCGCCGCATTAATGCTCAACCTGTAAACGCCTACACGCGCGACAATCCGGTCACATCCGATCGGGTGAGAGAAGACAACGGAGTGCAGCTCCCCGTTTGATTCCACGAAGCAAGTAGTACGTTTCTTGTACACCGCCGGTCTCCTATCGTCGTCGTGTACAGCGATCTTGGTGAACGCCACCTCCGGCAAGAACTCGAGGACGCCGACATTGCCGGTGTGTAGTTCAGTGTAGAACTTGCCGTCGATCGCCGTAAACTTGCGTAAAAACCTGATGATGGCGTCACGGTGGGCAGGGTTGCGGTACTGGTACGGTTGCTGATGGAGCTTCACCCAGTGGTTGTCGCCGGGGCGGCAATACCAGAGCTCCGGGTAGGCGAGGTCGATGACGAGCACGGTGCAGCTGGTCGGGTCCATGGGACCGCAGCATGACAGGAGGCACCTCCGGCGATGGCTGCCTTCGGCGGCGAGGACGGTGCCGTCGTGGTCGGGAGGCAGCCCGACACGGCGGCCGGTGAAAGGGTCCCATAAAAAAGTGCACGGCGAGCCGCGGCGCGCCATGAGCAACCAGCCCTGCGCCGTGGTCCACCAGCGGTGGCATCTCATCATGTCGTCGACGCCGCCGTCGCCCACCCTCGTTGGCGTTGGCATTGGCAGCAGCGCCCTCGTCGGCACGCTGTACAGGAACGTGGCGTCGCCGTGGCCGCCGAACAGCAGCAGAGGAGCAAACTTGGGATCCAGTGCTGCAGATGCATCGCCTGCCTCCTCCATGATTTCGACGGACGACTGGCCGATCAAATTCATAAATCCTTATAAATAACTATTGGCATAGGAAAGAGGTATGCACATCTACGACCTACAATTAGTACTCCTACCAATCATCTGCACCACCCGTTGATCAGGAAAAGGAAACATGAATTCCTACACGATATCAAAATTCAAACCACTACCCAATTCTAAAGCAAAATCTAAATACTTTGCATATATGGAGATTGGATAGCAAACCAACAAAAACCAACCGGGGCGCCGGGGCGGTATACAATCTCCAAGCGGAAGCCGACCTATAAGGCTTATTGGCTCGCTGGTCTCTCTTTTTAGCTTTTTGAGAATGAACAACCTTAGCAACTAACTTTTATTTATTTTAGAAAAATCTTTGTTCAAGCTACATGGCTAATGGCTTATTTCAGGGCATGTTTAATGCTGACCTAACTACCTGTTTTAGCAAGTGAAGGATTGCCCATGTTTCGAATTTGGGTTAGCGGATTAAGCTAACCTTGCCTAGCAAAACTCTGCCAGTCGGTCAGCTTGTATAAGTTTAACGCATGACTTCAACACAGGGCATATAATGACTGCATAAAGACTATCATACTTTAGTTACTGTACTGCCAGATATTGAAAATTGCCCTTTGATAGGTGATCGCGTAATCACAATTTCACAATTATAAGTGGAGTTCACAATGAAGAAGTAGATTTGCTTAAGACATATTGTTCAATCAGTCTATCACCTTGTTGATTTGATTAGTTGATAACTTGATATGGCTTCTTTGTTCCATCTTTGTATTTATGAGCTAAATATTTATTTTGTTTGAAACCATCAGTTATTTCTTGAAATATTCTGTTGTCTGCAGTCTAATGTTAGTTATTATTTAGTTTTAATAATCTTGCTACATATCATGCATAGATATGCTTTCTGATGGCTATCTTTACTGAATATGCTTCAGGAACCGTGCTAACAATCGACGCAATTATTATTGAATCAGTTGGATTTCATGATGTTTTGGGGATTTATTATATTTTCCTTTATTATTATTTTGGCTTGACTGCTATATAAGGTCTCCAAATTAGTTGATAAGGTCTTATCCAGTTGTTGGTTGTTATGGTATCAAACTTAATTCATTATTCCTCTAGTAGATTTCTATGCAGTGAAACTGCCATGTTTCTTTTCCACAAATGGGCTGAAAAATATGTGCCTTACACCGACCATGTTGATAACTACTCTATATCTATAAGGAAATCCTTGCAAGCAAACATCCTTGTATGAGCCCCTCTACTCCATTGTATTAATGATGCCAATACTCTGTACAACATGCAACTTCATGCATCTAATGCAAGCTACCTGCAATCATAATCCCCACAATCAGTCATTTACAAGTCAAATGTGTTTTTTACTCAGAGTTTACTTATTATGTCCAATAGCTGTCCAGAATCTTCTAACCTTGACATGTCTTTATTTGATTATTCATATTTCCAATAATTTTTTTATGGGCTATCTTTTCCTTATCCATGTGTTTTTTTAATGATTTATCTGTATGTTTAAGCATAACAATTTAATTTATGAGGTGATTTTTTTTGGCTGACACTGTAACACTTTTGTTATACCAAACAGATAGGGCTGAGAAGGCTAGTTATTTGTACAATAATGATGGAGAGAAGAGCCATGCTCCTTCATTAAAGAACCTTCCACCAATTATCCCTCATGAGACTTTTTTCAGCAATCCTCAGAATGATTACAGTCAAACAAGATTAATACCCTTGGAGGGATGTTGTGCCAGTGAGGCTGCCCAGCTTCTCAATGACCGTATGTTTCTCAGAGACCAAGCTGCCCTTTTAAATGCTTGTAGAAGTTCTATGATATAAGTTCTTATCTTTTTGACTTTCTGGGAATTGTTGCATGTTATTGTGGTAGTGATACATTATGTCTACAGTAATAAGATATTACTCATTTTGTCCCAAAATATAAGCATTTTTAGCATAGTGCTAAGTCAACCATTTTTAACTTTAACTATTAATAGCAAAAAAATAAAAAAAATCAATAATGTGAAATTGATGTTACTAAATTTATCATTAATCAAACTATTATTATATGCAACTCTTTTTATTTAAACCATTTTATTTTTATAGATATTGTTGGTCAAAGTAGCATCTCGAATACTATGTCGTGGTCTAAAAATGCTTATATTTTGGGACGGAGGGAGTAAGTAGTAAAAGCACATGCAGTATATTACAGAACCGCCCATTGCTTTAATAAGTTTACACAGGCTGATAATCCAATATTCAGATACTGTAAGTTGTAAAGAAAAATACGTGGAGCACCTGTTGTGATTTATTTTGGGGTTCTCTGCATGTTAGTAACATGGAAGAATATTCAAACTGTGTACCTACTGCTTATCCTATCTTTTTTGTTCATTAATCATACCATCAACTGTTCTCTTTATGTGCAATTGTGCATATGCCACCGGTAATTTACCGGAAGTTAGGCAACTTTTAATCAAGGATGGTCTAGGCATATATAACAAAGATGTATTCCTACAGTTGCTGTACTAATTTTGAACCAACTTTATTTACAACCATTCTTCTTATGTGATAATAAACCTTTGCTGCTTTTCCCCTGTAGGTTGGGCTGCAGCAATGAACTTGTACAATGATCAGTCATATGATTCCCCTGGTGAGTCCTTAAGCAAATTCAGGCCGCATGATGGGAGATTTACTATGTCATGAATCATGGTAGAGGAATCTTTAGATATTTTAGGATCAATTTCTACAAGACCTGGCATACTATCCTAGACCTATGTTTAATTTAGATTACCGTTTCATAAGTTATGATAGAAATATGGAGGTGAATATAAAGTGTTGGCAACAGTAGTGACGCCGCACAATTATGGTGCTAGCAATTATAGTATTGTATAGCAATTCGTGATGTTAATATGTTACTATGAACACCATCAAGTACCCTGTGCACTCAAGTGAATTTTCATGTCAGTTGTACCAACGGGAAGCACTAAACCAAAGTAACCTATTAAATGCTGTTGATGTTTTGCCAGATAAGCCGGTGATGTACTCTGGATCTAGTGGATCATCATGGGGTCATGGTCACATGAAACTTCCTCATCAGGTATATTGAACCTGCGATTTTGTCATACTGTTCTCCTACGTCTTAGTTTCTGTACTCTGATTCCTTTTCTGTGGTCATTGGTAGTACAGATGAACTTCTTTGAGGAGTTGCGCCGTGCCCTAGATGAGCAACCAGTCACAGGACCGTCTGTCAACACCTGGAACTAATCAAGCTCAAGCTGCATTGGAGTGCTAAGATTTACAAAAAAGCAATCTATTGCCAGTTCGCTGTGTGTTGTATCTTGTACTCCCTCCGTCCCAAAATAAGTGCAGTTTTGCACTATTCATCTCCAACGTTTGACCATTCGTTTTATTTGAAATTTTTTTATGATTACTATTTTTATTGCTATTAAATGATAGAACATAAATAGTACTTTATGTCTGACTAATTTTTTTTAAAAAAATCATAAAGTTTTCAAATAAGACGGACGGTCAAACGTTAGACACGAATTTCCACGACTGCACTTATTTTGGGACGGAGGTAGTACTGAAACTGTATGCATGATGTGACTATAAATGCTTTATTCTAACTTGCAACTCCTTTGGTTTATCTCAAACAGAAACGGCAATCCTGCCCATTTGTAACCTTATGGATGGAAAGCCAGCCTGCTGTATCATGTGGAGTACTTTAGCATGCAGAAGTGCAGAACCAATGCTATATATATATATCCCTCTTCTTAAGGGTGAACTTTTGCAGTTTTGTCAGATTTGTTGCTGCGAAAGCATTTTTTTGAGTAACCTTATTCATACCTATTTATTTAAGTGAATAATGCAATTTGATGTAACAGGGCAAAAGGCTCGAATATTGGCTTAAAGTGAACAGATGTATGATAAATACACAAGACACATCTATTCACCACTGAATTTTGTGGAGCAGCATCTCCAAACAGTCATTGCAGAGAACAGTAAATAAGTAGCACAGCAAAATGGATCAGCTATTAGTGAAGATGAAAAATGTCGGTTTTAGGCAAATTAACATCCACCTGTTGTCCGCTTGAATGATGTTTAAAGTAAACAGAGAGGCCATGCATCTCAATCTACAAGGAACGAGATTTTCGTCGATAATACAGGTTTGTGACTTTGTATAACTACACGACTTAAGAGCCTGCATGGATTTGATAACGCTTGACAACGGGTGCCGGTGGGCCGAGGGGAATTAGTTCCCCTCGGCAACCTCCGGCGAGAACTCGAGGACGCCGACATTGCCGGTGTGTAGTTCGGTGTAGAACTTGCCGTCGATCGCCGTAAACTTGCGTAAAAAACTGATGATGGCGTCACGGTGGGCAGGGTTGCGGTACTGGTACGGTTGCTGATGGAGCTTCACCCAGTGGTTGTCGCCGGGACGGCAATACCAGAGCTCCGGGTCGGCGAGGTCGATGACGAGATCGGTGCAGCTGGTCGGGTCCATGGGACCACAGCATGACAGGAGGCACCTCCGGCGATGGCTGCCTTCGGCGGTGAGGACGGTGCCGTCGTGGTCGGGGGGCAGCCTGACACGGCGGCCGGTGAAAGGGTCCCATAGGAAAGTGCACGGCGAGCCGCGGCGCGCCATGAGCAACCAGCCCTGCGCCGTGGTCCACCAGCGGTGGCCTCTCATCATGTCGTCGACGCCGCCGTCGCCCACCCTCGTTGGCGTTGGCATTGGCGCCAGCAGCGCTCTCTTCGGCACGCTGTACAGGAACGTGGCGTCGCCGTGGCCGCCGAACAGCAGCAGAGGAGCAAGCTTGGGATCCAGAGCGGCAGATGCGTCGACTGCCTCCTCCATGATTTCGACGGACGACTGGCCGATCAAATTCATAAATCTTAACTAATATAAAGAATCGTAATTTTCCTTTGGCAAAATTTTCCTTTCGTCACAAAATTTTCGTGCGTCAATTCCGACCGATTCGTCCGTCGATTCCGACTGAGTGGCCCTCTATCTTCGCTATTTTACAGCGGCCAAAGAAAGAAAAAGAGATCGATAAAAATCCTAACGTGTGTAGTCCGTAGCCCAGGTCGTTCCAAAATCGAAAGGAATAAGACTCTAATCCACCTAAATAAAATCTGAAGCATGATCCATAGGAGAACCCCAATCCAGCTGTGTTTCTAAATTCCAAATTTCTAACTAGAACACGAAATTAAGGTTCGAGTGAGGCGCCTGGAGGGGATAAGGTTCGAGTGGTGGGAGGAGATAGCGCCTGGGAAGGGGAGCGAGAAAACGGTTCCCATTTTCTTTATTTATTTTCTTTCCTTTTTAAACGCTACGGTCCTCCGGTTAGACATGAAAGTCTATTGAAAATATCTCATTTGCTAAAATTTATAAAGACAACTTTAAGTAAATAAGAAAAATACAAAATCAATTATTCTACGTGAAAGTAAAAAAGACTTTCACTTTACTTTCACGTCAATATAGCGTTGAGAACAGGTTGTATTTTTTTTCGAAACACAGTATAGATACATGCATTCATATAAACACGTGCACATTGATCCATATGAAAGCACACACGCACAACATATCTCTATGAGAATCTCCAAGACTAAGTTGGTATATTTTTTAGATTAGAGATATCATCACATGCGTCTATCGAATCTTGTTTAATCTTTCTATTATCTCTATCTCTACTACTTAAAAAAATACTTAAAAAATTGAAGGTGTTTTCGTCATCGTGATAAAAAAAAAGGCGAACAAATATATAATGATAAACCCTGAGCTCCACTCAAGATGCTCAAAGCTGTTGTTTGGACCGATCTTTCGGTGAGTTGAGATAACTACGATTTGGAAGAAACGTTGATGATCCGACTACAACCGTACAAGGCATTGCGTTGCGCCCTTAGCGATCGATACACCTCTCCGATTCATAAGAAGCTTGCACCTTATGTTCGATTAGGTAAAACATCATTATGGTTTATCCATGGTGATGATGCCCTCATCATATAAAAAGAAAAAAAAAAGAAAAGTCCGATTCATCAATGACACGGAGAAAAGAAGACCCACCGTCCGTGATAAAAAAGGTAGAATTTTTTTTGTTCTTATTAATCACTCTATATACCAATCATGTACGATGGATAAAGCACAAAATCAAATCAAAGATCTACACGGACTGAGAGAACCTGAAAAAAGTCATCCTATCAAACAGAACTACACGGAGAATCTAAAAGAATCATCCAATCGGATAGTTACACAGATTGAGAACCCTAGAAAAAAGGAAAAAAAGAGAGGAAAAAAATCACACAAATGAGCGAGTTTGCCATCGGATCCGGTTGTTCTGAGCTCGTCACTGTCACGCCTAGAAATTCCCGAATAGAATTCCAAGCAGAATGTGCATTAAAATCCCCGTCCAGGACCGGCCGGGGTACACAAACGACAAAGTTGACATACAGATCCACGTCTTACAAATATTATAAAAGTCTTACATAAATGCAGCGGAAAACTTAAAAGATATCTGGAGCTTAGCCTTGACTTGGACTGCAGCGGGAACACCACTCCACAGGCATCCTCGATGGCACGGACGAAACCTACTCCTCGGAAAAGCCACCATCTGACGCATACTCAAACTCTGGGGTTTGGGAAAAATAGAGCAAGACTAAGTACTACCCACTGTACTCAGCAAGTCATACCGGGATAGGGGTATGATGCAGGGTAATCAAAGGATAGCTAGAGTGGTTCATTTGCATAAAGCGAGCATTTATAAACAGTAGTTGGAAGAAGTAAAACCATTATAGTAATTAATCAATATTAACCATCCACTGTCCAACGCTACACCACGTTGCAACAGGCCCAACCATCCACCTGAACTAATCAGTTCCATCAGACTACCCTAGGGTGAGACTAATCACGGTGAATCTGGTTGACCGCCCATAACCGCGGGCACGGCTATTTGAATAGTTTTACTCTGATCAGAGGTGTACAACTGTACCCACAAGACACAGCCCCACGACACGTTTCCGTGCGCCGACATGCCACCACGACATACCGGAAAGAGGCCATGACAGGACCCTTCGCATAACCACCTCTAACCAAGCACACCACACCTCAGGTTTCACTCCCACTTCTCGCAAGGCAGCGGGCAGTCCCCTCTCGTGCCTAGGTGAATCCGGAAGCCGCATAGGCCGTCGTAAGGCCCATCCAAACTCCATCACGCCCACCCTTGCCTGGATGTGTCGGCTAGAGAAAAGCTACACTACAAGCTCAGCCGTTGCCCACGCTGGCTTGTGGTAAGTACGAGGAATTCTTCCAGGATTTCCCGCGAACCGGTCCTTAATTGCCATGGGCGCGACCATCAAAACCATGCACCCACAGCCCACCATTTAATATATTTTAATTAACCAACACTGGAGCGGTGAGCATTAACCAACATCATTCCTAGAATCTGATATCTATGCATTAATGTTGTCCCCCATTGTGTGCTAGTTGAACTAAGCAAGGCTAAGAAATCCCTAGTCCAATCTCTAGTCATGTTATATCCCAAGCTAACAAAGGAACATGGTACAAAATAGCATGGCTATAACAGTAGGTAAACTTCCCATGGTAATATTATAAAACAATGCAGTATTTGAAGGAAAACAATGGAGCATTTGCAATATAGGATCAACATGTTCAAGTGACAAGCATGACTTGCCTTGCTCTACTGCTGGAGGAACCTCGGCGACTATTTCAAAGTACACCGGAGCGTGGGGAGAGCCGGAATCTAAGCGACATACAAAGCAAACAATACAAACAGGCTATAAGACTACTGAAACAGAGAACAAAACCATTTTTAATGGATTCTACACATTTTTATTGATTTACTGAGACTTCAATGGGCTTAAACGGAGCTTGGATGAATTAGATATAAATTTTAGAAGATTCACTGTGTTTTTACTATAAACAGAAAAATCCTTAATTGAATTATTGCGCAATAAATAAATCACGGGAGAGAGAGAGGGGCGGCGCCGACATGCGGGCCCCACATGGCAGTGACTCGGGGAGGGCGGTTCATGGTGGACCAAGTCCACGGACCGGGGAAGGAGCGGCGCACCACGTGGCGCTGACGTGGCGCACACGCGGCGGCCACATGGCACGCCACGCGGGCGGCTGAACCGACGGCCCCGAACTACCCGAGGGTAGATCGGACGGCGGTGGGGAGCACGCGGCCGGCGCGCACGGGCGGCTCGAGCCGGCCCGGCGGCCATGGCGCACGGCGGCGCTACCGCGGGGCGGCGGCGCGGCAGACGGCAAGCGGCGGCGGCGCGACGGCGCGGCGACGCTGGCAGCGGCTAAGCGGCTAGGCGGCGGCGCGGCGACTAGATGGTGCGGGAGAGAGAGAGAGAGAGAGAGAGAGAAAGAGGAGGAGGTGCCTCATCGACGACAAGCGACGACGGCGAGCGACGGAGGGCGATGGCGACGGCGGGACGATCTCCGGAACCACCTAGCGAACACGATGAAAGGAGTTAGAGAGGGAGAGGGAGATGGAAGAGGGCGAGGACGGCGGCCAAGGGCGGCGGCCATGGCGATGCTCACCGGCGCACGGCGTGGAGCGGGTTCCGGCGGCGGAATCCGACGGGAGAGGGGTGGACGGGGTGGCCGGCACGACGGCGAACGCGACGGCGTCGACGACACGGCTCGGCACGGCGGCTAGAGGTGGCTAGCGGCGACCGGAGCAGCGGCAGCGGCGGAGAGGAGGGTGACGACGCTAGGGCGATAGAGGGCACGGGAGAGCTTGGCGAAATGGGAAAAAGAGAGAGGAGAGAGTGGGGATGCTTAAATAGGGGAGAGGGAGCTCGGACGTGGCCGGTAGAAGAGGGAATCGCCGGCCGACGTGGGGGAAGTGGGAGAGGAGAGAGAGGCGGGATTCGAAAATCGAATCCCGGCTGTCTCGAGCGCGGGCGCAGGCGGGAGAGAGGGGAAGTGGGCGCGGGGAACGCGGGCGCGAGGGCGACGTGGGCGACGTGGCCCGGGAGACGTGGGAGCGGGGCGCGGCGGCTCCGGCCGGAGGAAGGGGACGGGCCCGACAGGTGGGCCCCACCTGTCGGCAACCCCGGGAGAGGGAGGCGGGCGGCTGGCTCAGCTCGGCTGGGCCTCGGCCTTCGACCGGCCCAACAAGAAGAGGAGGGAGAGAGAACGGGCCGGCGGCCCATTCGAAAGAAAAAAAGGGGAAAAGAAAAAGAAAAGGAAGGAAATGGATTTTCCTGGGATTAAATATTGCTTGTGCTCAATTTTAATTGGTTAAAATTATTTCTAGAGCTCTGAAAATTCCACTAAAAATCTTGTTAGCGTATTTCGACATTTAGAACTCAAGAAAAATCCCACATGCCAAATCTGATTATTATTTGCATTAATTTATTAAGGTTTACTCTTGCTTTACACTGGTATTTTCTTGAGACCATTTATAACTTCAATTTAGGCTTGGGAAAGAACTTCAGGGTGTGACAGTCACCATTGCCATTGACCGCGCTCCTGTCATGGCCTCGCCCGCCGGGCACGGCCACACTCACCACATCCCCAACCGCGCACGGCACCCTGTAGGATCAAGGAGGCCGACTAGAGGGGGGGTGAATAGGCGGTCTTAAAACTTAATGGCACTTAAACAAAACTAACCTAAGTTGCTAGGCAAGGTGAGGTGCAAGGTTAACTAAGCAACTAAGTTAAATTTTGCAAACCTAGGTGATATGGGCTCAAATATGTCTCTATGAATGCAAATTGCACAAATGTAAATGCAGAAAATAAATGAGACAAGAGACAAGGAATTTTTCACCGAGGTTCGGAAACTCGCCGGTTTCCTAATCCCCGTTGAGGCGAGCCCAACTCCACCGCTCAACCACGAAGCCACCGCACGCCCCCTTCGTCAAGGGGTGGGCAAGGTGAGAGCCGGCCCACGGAGAGGACTACCCAAGCCTCGATCACTAGGGGTAGTTCTTCCTTCGCTCCGAAGGTGGTGAACTCCAAACCACTCACAACCGGCGCCGGGCCTCCTCCACAATCTCCTCGGAGAGGTCACCGGGCAACACCTCCACAAGCCGTCTAGGAGGCGGCAACCTCCAAGAGTAACAAGTCTAGGATGCTTGCCGAGGATGATCAGGTGCCACACTAGCTCTAACAATGAAGCAATGCACTTGGATTGACTTAACTCACTCTCTAACACCTCACTAGATAAACTAAGTGCACAAGGGTGTGAGAGCTCTTGCAAGGGTTCAAGATAATGCAATGGAGTGCCAAAACCTTACCCTTGCTGCTGGGGAGTGGGTATATATACCCCCAACCATCAAAACTAGCCGTTGGAACCAAAATCCCCAACTTTGTGTTCTGCCGGTCAGACCGCCGTTGTGATGCCGGTCAGACCGGACTACTTTGTAACGGCTAGAAAACTAGCCGTTACAGGGCAATCATTGAGCCCACTCAACCTGGCCGGTCTGACCGCAGTGTAGTGGCCGGTTAGACCGTCCACGGCTCGGTCAGACTGCTGTCGGCTCGGTCTGACCGGTTGCGGCTCTGGCGGCTCTGTATCGCCACCAAAAACCAGACTAGTGCAACAGACCAATGGGGCCGGTCAGACCGGCCTTACCACGCCAGTCAGACTGGCTAACAGACCCGGTCAGACCGGCCTAAGGCCCACGGTCAGACCGCAGGTCACTTTTCAGCTCAACCGACCGTTAGTAAAACGGCGATATCTCTTGACTCGGGTCTCGGAATTTGGCGTTCTTGGAATATATGGAAAGCTTATTCAAAGGGCCATCCAACCCATGAAAAATCCATCCAAGAAACACAACTTAAGTCAAGGATAAAGGGCTCACACTCCAAAGGATATCCACCGGACATACCCACAAGATGTCACTCACTCCTATTTGACATGCCCACTTCTCTCTTGGTTTAGGACTTGAGAAAACTCATCACACTTGGTTAGACAAGCCCACAAAATGCACCTACATGCATAGGAACTAATATGGCACAAGATCATCCACAAGCTCGCTTCATAGACCCCTCTTGATAGTACGGCGCCTATCTAGCAAATCCGGTCTACACCAAACACCAAGACCGGGAAAAGACTAAGAAAACATTCTTAGCTACATTATACCTTTGCCTTGCGCCATCCATCTTGGGGTCAAGCTTGAGCCGAGATCAACACTTGTAACCATCCGGTTGAACCATGTTTATGCCGAGGTCTTGTCCATCTTTTGTCAGGACTTTATTCTCATCACAAGCTTGACTTCATTCTTGCCAACATGATGATGTCCTTGGCTTGGTGACCACTAACCCATGGTGTCATTCATTAGCCTCATCGTAGTGGGACCTATTCCTTTTCACACCTCAAAGGAGAACATTAGTCTCAACAAATCGGTTGTCATCCTTCACTTGATGACCAACCGGGTGCATATGAAATATATGGATATGTTTGTTGAGTATTCATTAACATCACAAGTGTCATATACTCGTATGCAAGCTCAAGTGCAAAGATCCGATATAAATAATAGGTGAACAACATGGATCTAGAACATGCACAATAAATGTATAGGATTTGCTCCCCCTAAATATATGCATACAAATAAATATACAAGAGATGCAAGTGTATGCATAATTAGAGAATGACCAATGGGGGTTTATCCTATACATATAGAGAAGACATATGTAGTAATGATGTAGACTAACATAAAACATATACCTTCATGATCTCCATGTTCTCAATGTAAATGAGACTAAATAAGATAACATTCGAGTAAACATTAGTCTCACACTTATATATCAATAACATGGAAATCATATATATGAACATATCAAAACGTAGGAGATAAGAAGTGGTATATATCGTTTTATCTCCATGCATTTCATTCTTGTCATGATTAAGGTCCATCACAAAAAAATGCATGTCTTCCACATCTCATTATCGGGAAATAACCTAGTAGACAACTTATACAAAAGAGAAGTTAATCCCATAAACATCGGTTTATCATCTATCACCAAAGTAACAATTACACAAATTGTTTAATCCAAGATCTTTCAATCTTTTCTCTCTTTGGTGATGGATAATAACCCGATATAAACAATATAGAGAGATGAGATAAAAAATAATTTCAAATCAAGATAGAAATCTTATAATAAAAAAAATAGAATAAGCTCCCCCTCAAGATGTGCATACATATGCATATGAAGGAACGCATATGCACATAATCAATAAAGATCAAATAGGAAGCTCACACTATATTTTGGATCCACAAGAGAGACCAAGTTAGAATATGTGAAGTTTAATACATACCTCTCATCATTTTTACTTTCATATCCAAATGAGACTAGTCAAAGAAAGACTCATAAAAACGTTAGTCTCATATAATTAGATTTGTCATTAATCACCGAAACCAAATTAAGGCACTTGAACTTACACACCCCCTCCCTCTACCCCGGCGACCTACCTTCCGGCGCTCTCTTCTTGCTCGGAGACAGAGGAGAGAAAGAGAGAAGGACTGTCGTCGCCGCCGTCTCCGTGTCATAGGCTTGTAGCCCCACCATCGAGGCCTACGGGGAGAGGGGAAATGGAAGGATGGTCGTCGTCGCCGTCGTCCCCCAACACTGTGCCATGCTAGCGAGACGGGAGGGAGAGGGGGAGATGGAACGGTGCTGCCGATGGGGGAGGGGAAGGGGAGCGGCGTTGCTGATGGAGGGAGGGGGAAGGGGAGCGGCGCCGCCGGTGGGGAGGGAGAGGGGAAGCGGCGGAAGGGGAGAGGCGCCGCTGACGCCGTAGGTTTGAGAGAGAGAGAAGGGAGGGGAAGTGATTTTAGGGTTAGGGTTTGGGCTGCCGACTTTTTATATATGTTCGGATCAATCGGGACCGTTGATCAGATCAGACGAGTGTGGCTTCTCCCGCGTCGGGTTGCCGTTCCCAGGCCGCCACACAATTGGGCCACGTGTATGCTTCGCACGGATAAGTTCAGATTTGGTCCCTCAAGTTGTCCCCAAATCTTCATCCCTAAACCACAATGCTAGGCCAAAATCAGTTTATTTTTCTAAGCAACTGATTTAATTATTTTTATATTTACAGAAATTTGTTTGGTACTATTTTAAGCCATTTAAAATTGTTGGGAAATTACGATTAATTATTTAATCACTCATAGATTATTTTTAGATAAATGAAACCAACAAAAAATTTATCTAGAAAGTATTAATCATATGATATTGTATTTGACCAAGTTAATATGGTTTCATGTCAAAATAATTATTGGGCTTGTTTGGTTTATTATCCTATGTTGGTAGTGCCAAACTCTAGGCAAGTTTTGACACTACCAATATTTTGGTAGGGTAGAATTATAAATGAGTGTCTTTGGATTTATGCCAATTGAGAGCCAAATTTTAAATTGTGATGAAGAATATTCTAGAATTGTGCCAAATTGAGTATAGGCATTACCAAACATTTGGCTTCAAACCAAATCATCATATTTACTATTTAAACTACCAAAAAATTGATATGGCAATATTTTGGTATCAAACCAAAACGCCCCATTATTTCCTTAAATATTAAATTATTTCTAGAATTCAAACATATTCCACTAAAGATTTTTGAGTGAATTTTATTTCGATACTACAAAGTGTGTGTTTCTTTCCCATTGCAGATGCCTTTACCATTTTTCTTTTGTAGAGCATGGTGAATTCAGAGCTGTAACTGCCCCCGTTTATGAAAATTTGTGAAAGTTGGAATATTGTCTGAATGTGTAGAAAATTTGGAATATAGTTTGAGATACGACCTGAATCTGAATATGTATACAGTATGAGATATGTTTTGATATTTTCCTGTATAAAACTTGGAGATATTTGCAAGGTATGTACAAATTCAATATTTTTGTGCACATGTATTATAAGTACACAAGCAATCTTAACCATCCATATTTGTTTGATATTCACCCGGTGCAACGAACGGGTATATTTGCTAGTCCTTATAAATAACTATTGGCATAGGAAAGAGGTATGCACGTCCACTACCTACAATTAGTACTCCTACCAATTATCATCTGCACCGCCCGTAGATCAGGAAAAGGAAACATGAGTTCCTACACGATATCAAAATTCAAACTATCAACCCAATTCAAAAGCAAAATCTAAATACTTTGCATATATGGAGAGTGGGTAGCAAACCAACAAAAACCAACCGGGGCGCTGGGGCGGTATACAATCTCCGAGCTGAAGCCGACCTATAATACGAGTCCGGAGGAAACACGCCATGAAAGTAGAGCTCCGTAGCAGCACAAAACGCAGCTCGCCATGCAGGCACGAACTCTCGCGACTCGCGTGAGGAGCACCGCAAAAAGAAGCGCAAGCAGAGATCGACAGATGGAGGCGGCCGCCGCGACGGCGGCGCAAGGACGACGGGACTGGTCGTCTCTCCCGTTGGACATGCTCGTGCTCGTCCTGGAATATCGGCTCGGGTGGTCGACCCACCCCAGCTTCGCGTCGACGTGCCGGCACTGGCGCTCCGCCGTGTCGCCCTTCTACCCGGCGTGGATCACGCCTCTCCTCCTGAGCGCCGCCGACGTCGGCGTCACGAGCGCCAGGTACTACAGCCCCTACTACCACAAGTGTTTCCAGATCGCCGACACGCTCGTCAAGGTGCCTAACGCTAGGATCTGCTGCTCCACCGGACGACGCCTCACGCTGTGCTCACCTAAATCGATCCTCCAAGCCGATCTCGTACTACTCGCCGGCAGCACCATCCATGAGCTGCCGAAGCCGACACCGCCTTTCGACTCGTCGCCCGATTTCATCGTCTACGACGACCGCGCGCGAAGGATGTATTGCGTCAACACGACGTCCGCGCTACGGCTCGCCCGTGCGATCCAACAAGACGATGGCCAATGGGGGCCCTGGGAATTGACGGGCTTCGGACCGCAAATTCTGGCGGCACCGACCAGCAACCCGGTGCTCCACGGTGGCTTGCTGTACGTTCTTGGCGAAGACGGGGAGCTCGCGGTGTACGATCCGTGCAACCATGGCGATAGTTTTAAGGTTCTTGATAAGCCTGGGAGCTTTGGAATCGAACACCAAGTCGATAGCCACCTGTTTGAGTCCGACCAAGCTGGCGCGCTCATGGCTGTCCTCGTTGGCTACAGTGGTGCGCCTGTCCATGTCGTCAAGCTCAATGAAGAGACGATGGAGTGGGAGAAGATGCGGTCATTGGAAGGACATGCGTTGTTCACCGGGACATACACGACGATGTTGAGGAAGACTAAGCTTAGGTTGATGCACAACAAGGTGTTCCTCCCGAGGCTGTACGACTGGCCCGAGACCATCCATGTCGACCTTGTTATACGTGACAGCGAAATAGCATTTGTTCCCAAGTCATACAGTTCGTCTGCCACAAGGGAGATCACCTCGGACATAAATATTTGGTCCTGCGAGTTTGGGCAGCACGAAGCAAGAGAGTTTTGGGGATCGGAGAGAGTAGATTATAGTATTTGGGTTGATTTTAGTACTAATTGACCCAAATTGCAGTTGTTAGCTCATAATGAAGTTACTCTTCTTTCGGGCTAAAATCAAAATCGACGCAAATGAATTTTGGTATAACATTTACCCTGCACAACTGTATTTCTTTGTTTGGCGTTGAACAATGACGCTATTAATATTATGCGCTCAGCCAATACCATACTTGCTCTCTATGTTGACGAACGAAATGCAAACTAGTGATCCATAATGACCAGAACACTTACTGACGTACATTTTGTATCAGGATCAGCTTCTGCAGCATGAAGAACCCATGTGCAGAACTAGTAGAAATGTCCCGATTTCCTTATATTGATAGTGACGAGTCCGTTGCTGTTGCGGTGCTGGAGTATGCCATAGGCCGGCTTCAGATTTTCAGAGCCGGTTTCAGCACGCAATTCTCTTCAGTTCAGACAAGAGAAGAGAGGTAATCAGCCAAACCAAGCGCATTACTGATTACGTATCCAAGAGAACATTAATTCGGGAACAGAGCAAGTAGTACATACTCAGCTCTCAGCATGTGTAATAGATTCAAAATGAAGATCAACAAAAGCATCACTAGATTAAGTACTTTGATAAAAACTCAAAAACCAGACAAGTGTTCTCAGTAACCAAGTCTAGCAAGCAAAATCTCCTACCCCAAACGTACCCAGCCAACCAGGAGTCATAAACCAAAAACAAGGTAGCAGAAACCAACTACTCCGATCCTATCAATGCATTAGTTCTACTACTACTACCTATGATCAGTAACATCCCTCGAATGCAGTGGTGCATGCATCATCACACATCATCTCCGTCTTGGACAAAATTGAGTGGAAGCTGTAATGAACCGGTGACCTCTTTCTTCTGAATCATGCATCTACGGGCTGCCCTCGCTGTCATCAGGAGCCGTGCCCTCGTCATCAGCCACGGCGGCGCTGGCGCTGGCAGTGGCAGTGGCAGTGGCGTCGACGTCGACCTCGCCGCTGGTGTTGCTGTCGGCCGTGGCTTTGGTGATGGCAGGGGGATCGACCTTGTCGCCGGTGTTGCTGTCGTCGGCCGCGACAGTGGCAGTGGGATCGACCTCGTCGCCGACGGTGGTGCTGTCAGCAACGCCACTGGCATTGTTGTCAGCAACGGTGGTGTCGTTGTTGACGAGCTCGCCGCTGTCACCCCTGGCACTGCCGCTGGTGCTGTCGTCGACCTTGATCTCGTCGCCGGTGTAGCTGCCAGTGTCAGCCGCAGCGCTGGGATTGGTGGTGGTGGAGTCGACCTCGTAGCCCGCGCCCGTCATGACGCTGCTAGCCACGGCCATGGCTCTGGCAATGGCGCCGTCGACGTCATCGTCGCCGGTGCGGCTGCCACTGCCAGTGTCAGTCGCGGTGTTGGGGTTGGTGCTGGTGCTGGAGACATCGTGGCCCTGTAACGGGAAGCCGCCCAACTCGGCCTCGACTTTGTCGAAGGCCTCGAAGATATCCCTCATATTGTACCTCGTGGGGCTGGCATTGAGGTCGGCCTCGATTTCGCTGGGAGTGGGAGAGGGGCCGTCGTGGGCCCTGCGGACCTGAGGCTTGGGCCTGAAGTTGGGATCGAGCTCCACCTCGTCGCTGTTGATGCCGAACGTGTCGTCGCTGTTGATGAAGGTGAAGACGTCCTCGGTGTCGATGTCCGTGGCGATGTCCAAGTTAGCGGCGAGGTCGTCGCTGCCGAAGTTAGTGGCGATGTCCAAGTTAGCGGCGAGGTCGCCGCCGCTGTCGAACGCGGCATTGGCGCTGCCGCCGCCGCTGCCGGGGCCGGTGCTGGAGCCGGCCTCATAGCCCGTGGTGGTGGTCCCGGCAGTGGCAGTGTCGTCGACGCCCTCGTCGCTCGTGGCGCTCGTGTCGCTGTCGCTGCCACCAGCCGGGCCGGCACTGGTGCTGGCAACGTTAGAGGCGGCAGTGTCAAAGGCAGCGGGATCGACTAGCTCATACTGGAACTGGAAGGCGCCGGGCTTGAACTGAACCAGGATGACGGTCGTGTTCTCGCCCGATGCCAAGCCGGACTGAACAAGCTCCTCACAGATGACACGCAGCTCTACACCCTCCTGCATAGCAATATTAATTGGTCACAGCAATATTGGTAACAGCAGTTTTAACAGGGAAAGAATCCAAACTCAAAGCAGATGGCAGTTTGTCAGTCAGGCATGTATATTCAGCGCGAAACAAAGTACTGGTTTTCGGGGGTTTAGGGGATAAGCACTGTTATTCTATAAAAAAGAGAAACCAGGTTATTTATATTTCTTGGTTGAAGTCACTTCCTAGAACAGATAGCATAATTAATACCAATAAGATATATTGTCCTGCCAAGAAGACAAACTGAGGAAAAAAAAAAAGACTCACCAATAAACGGACATGTATGTAAGCAACCACATCCGCACTTTCCATGCAAGACCTGCAGGGAAAAAATATACAGTACGTAATGCGGTTAGTATGAAATTATGAATGAAACTATATATGCATCAAAAAGGAGAAAAAGAATCATGCCAATGAGTACTGGTGACATCAAAATGATCAAATAGTTACTGACAGTTCTTTTTTGCTGAAGAGTTACCACTTACCAGAGGCCTTGACTTGCTATAACAAGAAATTCCATGTCACCAGTTATGTCATGCTGACGTAGAAAGGGCCATTTTCCATCAGATCCCACCCCGGCAAAACAAACTTTATATTCTACCAAACGAACATATTTACACTTACAGTGTGGATGTCAGGATCACATATCAACATTTGTTCTTCACGATTTAAATCTTTGTTCTGCTTGAAAGCAAAGTCACCTGAAATGTAAGTAGGTAAAACGCCAATCACAGTGTTATGTGGTTTTTTTTATTACATGCAATCAATGAAAAATAGGCTCAGGCAAAACTATACCAATTGATCTTGAGATTGTTACACTTTCCCCAAAGTAACCGAGGATCCATTGTTCCTTGATTACATAATTCTCCATTACTTTTTCACAATCAACTCCAAGAGATATTCCTCCTGCATTTTGAACTCTCTCTCTTTCAGACTCGCTTGTTCTTGGTTTATGATCGGAGGATAAATCAATAGCCTTTTGACAGAACAGAAACAAGCACAAATGTTAGGCACCACAAGAAACGAGCATGCAAATTAGGTAACGACCAGAAATTCAATAGGGAAACAATCACTATACCAGACCACCTTGTCTTGAGAGTACGCAACGAGAATCACCAGCATGTCCAACAATCATTTGGTCACCTCTGATGACAACCACACATGCTGTGCTCCCTTCATATGCTGGCCCAGTATACGCCTGGAAAAACAAGAACAAAACTGAAGTGTAAAACACAGAACCACAACATAGAAGGAAAAGGCTACCAAAAAATAGCTCAAGAAAGCCAACAGGTAAAGAAAAACATTTCTGAAAACCAAACCAGTGTACGAAAGAAATAGCCATCGAAGGGATGTTGCAAAAAATACCTCAATTTGGGTAGCATAGTATGATAAGAACCAAGGTGCAATGAGAACTTAATAACCTGTTGGCCTCCAACTCTGTAAACCAGCAATTGATATGTAACTAATTGAACCTTTTTTAATAGGAGCAATTAGTCGAGGTTAGGGTTAAACATATCTCCTCCAACTCCAAAGTACATCTCAAGAAAGAACAACAGTCTCGATATCAAACACATTCTTCCATTTCCTTTTTCATAGATACAATATGCACACTGTCCAACAAATACAATTTTGAGTAACTTCTTCAAGATATGGATATTCGAGGACACTAGGGGATAAAAGATTACTACCTGCGGGAAAGGCCAAAAGTTAGCACAGACACCAGCCTTGAGAAAATACATCCATCCATTATCACGAGGAATAACTAACTCTCTCCAAGCATCGGATTGTTGCAGGTTCTCATCCATGCTGCAGCATTTACACAAGAACAATGATATCCCACATTTCCAAGTGCAGCTATAAACAAAATGATAAAGTAGGCTAAAATAACCTAAAAAACACATTGTCCAGTGCGTTGGTGAGATCATTGTGATAGTCTTCATGATTGCAAAGCTCAATGTGAAATCGTTTTGCGCAGTACGATGCTACTTCAGCTCCTGTGATAGAAAATAAACAACTCAGTATGGTGGCTCGATAGGATGGATCATGATTACTTCTATGTGCATAGAAGCTTATAAATTAAAACAATGTTATGAACACTAGTAGCAGAACATCACTTTAACAGGTTTCATAAGAAAATAGAGTTAGCCAACCTGTTAATCTGTGATTATCCTCTTAATTATCATGACTATTTGTATTAACTCACATTCATGCGGTGTTTTATCCCTCATGAATTAAAATTTCCTTTTATGTAGTTCAGGTTACCCTTGCAAGCATGCCGCACGAATGTGATTACTGAACTTGGTTCGTTATCCTTAACTATAGCATCATATTTATTTGAAAATTGACAGGTAAAAGTTTCAACATATACAGCTAAGTTTTCAAAACATGCACAAAGATAAAAATGTGATACACACAGACAAACATAGCATGACGTAAGCAGTTACGCCAACAATTTGGAGGGTTTGAAACAAAAAAGATGACAATGAAGCAAACCTCCATGGCCATCATAAACACCAAAAAATGACGTGGACGTGGTATCATCAAGACTTAGAATAGCTGCATGCTAGAGAATAAGGAGAGCGTATATCAGTCTCGGCATTTTACACAAATTACTTACAGATCAATAAGAATTTTTTGGCAGAACTATCCTAATTTTTGTAATACAAAAGGCTGCAAGTTTACTCACAGCATCTTCCATTTTATGACCCAATCCCTGCATAGATGACACGATATACTTAATTCTATCATTTTCTTCTTCAACAGTGACCTTCGATTCTACAGGAAGGCTGTTACCCATAGTGGAGCTTGCTTTGCTGAAAATTTAACATGAATACAAATATACAATAACATTATTGACAAAAACGGGGAAAGAATAAAGTGAATACACTTAAACAACAATACAGATCGATTAAATGCCAGAAAGCTTGGTTACATATGAAATAAAGTCAGGTAGAATCATCAGACTTGATACGACACTAGTTATCTAGCGCAAAGCACAGGGTGTTAATAGTGATTTCAGTTGCAGCGTTGCAGTATTTTACACCTACATCTTATCTTGTACAAGAATTAAGCAAGGAATTGAAATATTACTGTGAACAAAATACACACAAGGTTTTCTATGAACGCCATATAAGCTTTACAGACACAAATCATAAAACCAAATTCCAAAGTGAGAAAAGAAGAGGAAACAACAGATAAAGTGTACTGTACAAGGATGATCAATTTCCTCTAGATATGGTCATCTCTTCAGCGAGTCAAAACTTAAAGAAATTCCAAACAGAGTATGATGGACGGAAGAAGAAGAAAACCAGAGACATGTAACCTACAGTACAGCACCGAACACTATCACAGAGAAGTAAAAAATAGGTAAAAGACAAGAAAAAAAAGTACAATTGCTCGGTAAGGGGGAAGGAAGCCAAATCAAGATTCAAGAGATGGAAGTTTCTTTGATAGGTAAAGAATCAGAAGATTTACAAGCAATTCAATGGAGCGACACATGCAGAAATCATTGAACGAAAAAATAGCATCGAGTAAACAAAGCCACAATAGGACAGAGAGTTCTTTCGAGGCAGAAAACAGAAGAGACGTGTAGAGAAGAAGCATCCTGCATATTGCATCAGGAACAGCGAAATGAACAGAAGAAGGCATCTAGCTAATACAAATTCAGAAACTGGCACTTCGGCAACATACCAAAACAGAGCAAACTGAAAAGACAAGCAGAGAAGATAAACGAATTGATGTGGTCTAATTTCTCGCGCTTGCACTGGTACAAATAGAGAAACGGAAGGCAAGATCAAGACCAACGTGTTCTGAGGAGAGGCGAACGAGATCACCATGAAGCTTCGGTGCTCATCAAACTCATCCAAGAAACCCACGCACACCCCAACTTCAAAAACATCAAGCAACAGTACAACACGGGTACGGAAGCCAAGAACACGAGGGGAAAAAAGATCACTGCCAGGTAAAATCTTAGCAAATTTCGGACTCCGAAACGCCTTAAAATTCGAGAAGAGAACGAGGCGCGGTGCTACTTGACCAAGACGTAAGGAAGACGAGCGGATTGCATCAGGAACAGCAAAAATAATAAGAACACACCAAAACAGAACTGAAAAAATTAAAAAAAAATCAGAGAAGAGACGAATTCATGGCGTCTAACTTCTCGCGCACGCACTGGTCGCGCCAGGAACTGTCAACATCAACATGCTCCGATGGGAGAGAGGCGAACGGAGTCGGAGACCACCATGAAGTTCCGTTGCTCGTCAACCTTCTCATCCAACTCTAAGAAAACCACGCCTCAAATGCATCAACCATCAAGCAGCAACATCACGGGTACAGGAAGCCAAGAACACGAAAAAAAAAAACAAAGAGGATCATAGCGCGGTAAAGAGGTTCAAGTTTCGGAAACCGAGACGCCTCCAGATTCAAGCAAGAGTTCGACGCGCGGCGCCGCTCGATCAATGCCACTCAGCGAAGACAAGAACGAGAGGACCGCGACACGAAACACCAAGCAAACAAACACCACCACCGCACCAATGGAGCAAGATCGAAGAAGAGTAGGGAGAAGAATCTCACGGCGCTTTCGGAGAAGAAGTAGGGTTTAGGGATGGAGGCGGCGGACGAAACCACAGAGGAGAGGACGACGAAGTGGGAGAGAGATCTCACCTCTCACCTTTCGCCGCTGCTCTTGAGACGCGCGCGCGAGAGAGAGACGAGAGAGAGAGAGAGAGAGAGAGATGCGGAAAAGTGGTTGTGCAGTTGTGCTGCGAAGGGCAAAAAAAAAGTTGCGCTTAAATACCTGGACCAGACGCATCTCCTCCGTCGGATCGTCCCTCGCGGCTGATCCAACGCTCGAGGAGTGGCCCCATCCTGTGGCTGGTGGTCCCCACGGATCCCTCAGCCTGCATGACTCATCCCCGTGTAGTTCTCTTTTATACTCATCATCAACTAGTCAGTTCATCAATCTGAGTACAGTTTCCACACATACTCCTAATCTGGAACATGACAGCTTCCATACAATTTCCACACTAATCAAGTCATGTTCTTTTGCATCATTGCATGGATGACCAAAATTCTAACATTTCAAATCCCAGACAAAAAAAAATCATGTAGACTGTAGCAGGATTAGCTGAACTGGAATTTGTAATATTACATGGCAAGATAATATAAGTTTTTTTTACAAATTAATCCAGTACATCGATCACATCATGTTGGCAAATGGTATGATGATGTTATCAAGCTTAGAAGGTAGAGAGACCTGCTGCTGCTGCTGCTGCTGCTGGTCTTGCTGTGATCCGCCGATTCCAGTGCTCGTGATGTCTGAAGGGCCATCTCAGAATGGAGCCGCATGCAGCTCATAGCCATCTACAAGACAAACATGCCAATGGAGTTAGATGGCAGTGTTAAAAGTTATTGCGTTTCCAGCTTAGTGGATTGGTTTCTCTTTATAAGGTAAAAAGAGGTCCTGTTTTTCTTTACAGATTTGCCGGGACAGCCGAAAGAGGTCGCCCAAATTGTATTAAGAAGAAAGAGGGTGTCACGAAGGTTACAGAATCGACCTTAGACAGTCGAGCAGGGTGCTAGCCGCAGCTAACGCCCCCCAAAAGAAAAGAAAAACGGCCACCTTAGGGTGACGCCTCCAAAAACTCTAGACACTTTACGCTTTTGTTAATCTACTCGTTTGAAGATCTCTTTTCTTTACAGATTGCTGAAAGAGCTGGATCACTGAATGAGTATAACATTAGATTAAAGGAATGAGAGGAGGGAGTAGGTTACTGAAAATTAAAGCATATGATGAGTGATATTAGCTCTTTCATTTTCAGATTGTGAATCATATCACAGTGAAATTATTAGTTCTTTCAGGCTAAAATCAAAGGCGATGCAGACGGAATTGGATATAACATTTGCCCTTTATCTTTCGCCACTAGTGCTCTTGAGATGAGAATGCGTGAGCCTGTGAGGGAGGGAGAAGCAGAAAGTGGTTGTGCAGCAAACCGCGCAAGGAGAAGCAGCATTGCGCTTAAATACCTGCACTGGACGCATCTCGGCCGTCGGATTGTCCCTCGCAGCTGATCCAACGCTCCAGGAGTGCCCCGTTCTGTGGCTGGTGGTCCCCATGGAGCACACGCCCTCCTCCTCCTCCTCTCGCCCTGCATGACCCATCCACAGGTAAATTTTCTTTTGCTCAACTAATCAGTTCAAAGTTTTCAAACATAGTAGTAATCTGGAACAGAAGACTTACATAAATTGTTTCACGTAAATCAATTCATGTTCTATGTATGAATGACGAAAAATCTAGCACTCCGAAACCAAATACATCAATCGATTTATATATCTAGTCCAGTACATTGATCATTTTGATGGTATCAAGCTTAAAAGGCAGAGACCTGCAGTTCCTGGCCATGCTGCGATCCACTGATTCAGTGCTCATGATGTCTGAAGATCTCGGAACAGAGTTGCAAACAGGTCATGATGCCTGCAAGGAGACAAACATGACAATGGAAGAGTTAGATGACAATGTGAGAAGTTACTGAGTTTCCAGTGTACTGAAATGGTTTTCTAATTATGAGTTGAACAAAAAACTAGTCTGGTTTTACTCTACACATTACTGAAAAGAGCTGGATCACTGGTTGAGTATAATAGAAGACCAAATGGAATGATAGAAAGAAGTACGTTACAGGAAACTAAAGCATAAGGTGGGAGTTATTAGCTCTTTATTTTCAGATAGTGAATTATCTCACAGTGAAAATACTCTTCTTTCAGGTTAAAATCAAAGACGATGCAAATGAATTTGATATAACGTTTACCCTGAACAACTGTACTTCTTTGTTGGTTCAAAAATGACCCTATTAGTATTATGTGCTGAGCCTATTGTACTATAATTGCTCTACTTTGACGAACAAAATGCAAATCGGTGATTCATAACAGATATATCCCCCCATAGTGACCAAAGTACATACTGATATTCATTCTGTATCAGGATCAGCTTCTGCAACATGAAGAGCCCATATGTGTATCAATTCCAAACCAGTTGAAATGTCCCGATTTCCTTCTATAAGAGCTGATGAGACATACAATGGGTGCAGCACTATCAATATGCAAAAAGCTGCAAACAACACAGACCTTCTGATGCTTCAGGATGTTGTGAAACAGCTGTATAGAACAAAATTTGATGTCAAAATGGTAACTTACCAATAAAATTCCTTAACAGGGAAATGTTTGTTTAGGCTTGGCATACCTAGATCTGATCATATCAAGAAGACATGGGGCGACAGCTGATGCTTCCGGATGCATTGCCATGCACTTCATACAGACACCGAGCATGTATAACAATTTACCTAGGACAACAAAGTAGCGACCAAGGAAATCGATACCATATTACTAACGAAGTTCAACATGCCATTCTTCCTTCACATTAGTTTACACTGGTATTTTTTCTGGATAAAAGGGACACACAAATTATTCGTATCAGTTGGGATGTTGTGCATTGTGATCCTTAGCAATCTCAATTACTTTTCTACATGCTAAATTACACATTGCAGAGATAATGTACAAAATCATCAATATGTACATGAATCTAAAACAAAACTGTGGAGAAAGTTTATTAGTATTATGTAGTACAGATTTATATAGAGGTGAATTGACCCTAAGCATAATTCGTAAATTTACAACTACCAAATCAAATGCAAGCTATCTACGGATCTACCAGCGGGGGCGAAGCCCAATAGAGGCCCGTGGGTGCAGATGAACCCCCCTCAAACAAAATTTTTAGTTATTACCCCCATATCTCGGCCCTATATGCACCCCCCTTGGCCCAATATAGTGCACCCACAGTCCAAACAACAGTCCAGTTAACGTTGTAAGCCCATGAGGAGAGTCGAATCCAGATCAATCTTTTCTCTTCTCGACTTCTCGTATGCCGCGTCCCGTCGCTGCCAATCTTGACGACTCCGCCTCGCATCTGTTTGGCTTCCACGCCACTGCTCTGCAATCAGCCAATCCCAGTCTCCCAGACAACACTTGCCCATCTCGGCATCGTGACGCGCCGCCGTCGGCCGTCGCCCTCGGCAGCTCACTGTCGCTGTCGCCGTCGCCCCTGCTTGCTTAGTGCCTACGTTGCTCGCTCCAGCCGCAGGAGCCAGGAAGGCAGGAAGCCGGTCGCCAGGCAACCAGCTAACCAGGAGCAAGCGTCAGACCACACTTTCACAAGCCATGAAGCCAACAATGACATCATCCATCTCCATCAACTGATCAGCACACAGCCACATTGTGCGTTAGTAGAGACAAGGTAAGAAAGCATGCTTCATCTATTTCTTTTTTAATCAATTTGATTTATTAGATACAAAGGCCTAAAATTTTTATTGGTTGTTTTTTTTTACATTGTAGAATTAGGAGGCCAGTAGGGTTCAATTTGGAATCCTTCAGAATTGGAATAAAATTGCAGATTGGGGGGAAATTTGAGAATTTGAGTTGAAGGTGCTATTTGGATGTAAGTCATATCAATTTTCATTCTACTTCTGTACTTGAATGAATGATAAAATCAGTATATATTTACATCCTCCTAAATCATCTAATGATAGGTTAATTGATGGAACGATTTTACAAAAGGAAAGTGCCAGAGCCGAATAGTGCTAACAATGCATGTAATTCATGTTTGGATGATATAAACTGGGAAGATGAGATTAAATATGATCCAGGATTAAGAAAACAAATTGATGAGTACCATCCTAATCTCAGAGAGAGGGTGAGAAGGAAATACTTGGAGAATGGCCCTTGTCAACCTCGCACATTTGCTTTTCCTATGACAGGTTCAAGAAGGTTTGTCCCGGAATGGTTTGATGAGTTTGGAAGTTGGCTTGAATACAGTGAGTCCAAAAATCGAGCATATTGTTTTTTCTATTTCTTGTTTAGAGAAAAGAAGGATGGTGGATATGAAGCATTTGTTAAAAATGGTTGGAATGGTTTTCATAGAAAAGAAAGGTTGAAATTGCATGTAGGTGATGTCGGTGGTTCACACTATCAAGCAATGAAGAAGTGTGATGATTTATTACAAAAAAAGACAGCACATTGATGTTGCTTTTCATAGTGTGAGAGAAACTGGTAAGAGGGACTATCTTACTCGATTGAATGGGTCCATTGATGTTGCTAGGATGCTAGTAAAGCTAGGATTGCCTTTCCGAGGTCACGATGAGTCAAAGGAGCCCTACAACAGAGGCAACTTCAGGGAATTTCGTGATTACACAGCGGAGCAAAACCCATCCTTAAGAAAGGCAATAGGTACAAAAAAATCAGATAACAGTCTTTTGGTTGCTCCTGAAATACAGAGGGATATTGTGAAATGTTTTGCAAAGGAAGTGCTACATGCTATTCTAGAAGAAATTGGGCATGATGTTTTTTGCTTGCTAGTTGATGAATCAAGAGATGTTTCTTGCAAAGAACAAATGGCAGTGGTCTTGAGATATGTTGATAAATATGGAATTGTGAGAGAGAGATTTGTTGGTCTTGTCCATGTGACTGAAACAACTTCTGCCTATCTCAAGTCTTCTATTGATGCTCTATTTGCAGAACTGAAGCTAAGTCTAAAGCAAGTTAGAGGGCAAGGATATGACGGTGCTAGCAATATGTGAGGTGAGTTCAATGGTTTGCAATCATTGATCATGAGGGAAAATAGTTCAGCTTATTATGTTCACTGTTTTGCTCACCAACTCCAATAGGTTCTTGTGGCTATTGTGAGAAAACATAAAGGCGTTAGTGATTTTTTTACTAAGATTTCCATCTTACTGAATGTGGTGGGTGGATCATCTAAGAGAAGGGATTTGATTAGAGATATTAATGTTAAAGAAATGAGTAAGGCATTGGGTTGTGGGCAACTTCAAACTAGAACCGGGTTGAATCAAGAGCAATGTCTTCAGAGACCTGGGGATACTCGATGGAGTTCCCACTATAAAACTCTCAAAAGTTTGGTTGGCATGTTTGCTACAATAGTCAAAGTGCTAGAAATTGTGGAAAAAGACAAAAATGATTGGAAAATTAGAGATCAAGCATCGAATCTTTTGGAGTACTTCCAATCTTTTGATTTTGTCTTCTATTTGCACCTCATGTTGACTATATTAACAATCACAAACAGCTTGTCACTAGCATTGCAACGGAAGGATCAAGACATAGTGAATGCTATGAAATGTGTAAAGTCAACTAGGCTCAATTTGGATGAGCTTAGAAGAGAAAAGTGGGAGAAAGTTCTAGATGAAGTCTCTGACTTTTGTGACAAGTATGATATTGTCAAATTGGAAATGGAAGATACATATATTGATCCCAAGAAGCGTAGGCACAAATCTAGAATTACAAACAAGCATTACTATCAAGTGGATTGTTTTAATGATGTTATTGATTGGATACTTCAAGAGCTTGACAATCGCTTCAGTGAGACAAGCTCTCAATTGCTTATTTGCTCATCGGCTTTTAGTCCAAGAGACTCATTTCATGATTTCAATCTAGAGAATTTGATGAGTTTAGCAAAATTGTATCCTAGTGATTTTAATTCTGGAAATTTGAGGGACCTTAGCCACCAACTTGGTCTCTACATCGCTGATGTGAGGGATGATGGTAGATTCTCCAACATACAAACTATTGCCGAGCTTTCTCAAATAATGGTGGAGACAAGAAAACATCTTTGTTATCCATTGGTTTATCAACTTTTAAAACTTGTACTTGTATTGCCCGTCGCTACTGCCACAGTTGAGAGGTGCTTTTCAGCTATGAAGAATGTGAAAACATATTTGTGCAATAAAATTGGTGATGAGTACTTAAGTGATAGCCTTATTTGTTATGTGGAGAAAGAAGAAATGAAGAAAGTCACCAATGAGGCCGTTGTTCGTCGCTTCATGAAAATGCAAGGACGCATATTTGATGATGATTGAAGGTAATGATTGTATCTAAGTGCGCTGGATTCTACTTTTTATTTGAAAAATGAGAACTGATTTTGATGTTAACTTGTTTTAGGTTATCAAATCATCGTCGAGGATGTTGAGATAATGAAATAGAATGGTGTTTGCTTATGTTTGCATATGCAGATCATCTTTTGCTCATGGGTTAGTAACCAATTCTCAATTATCAATGTTATTAGTGGATTTCTTAATTTTGAAAAACAATGTTTGTCACTTTTTTTATTTTATTGATGCATGTGTGTCTCTACTGTTGATGTAAAAAATTATTAATCAACGGTTCTATCGAAAATGTAGCTTGAAGTTATATATATTGATATACTTGTGGCAAAATCTCGAACCCCCCTCCATTTTGCTCTAGCTTCGCCACTGTCTACCAGCTTTAGCATCCATGTTCCGCACCGAGAGCAAGCTAGGTTAGTTTAGGCAAACGGATCATATCAACACCAGAGTTATTTATCACAAAACCTATCCCCACATAGTACTACTGCAGGCATACGCAACACAGCAACGGGCGACCTCTTTTTTGTGGGGCTAGAAATAAAATCGAAGAGAGGAAGAATCCACTCACTTCTCGTCGAGCTTGCGGACCTCCTCGTCGATCCGCGCGCGCATCTCGGCGAGCAGCTGCGTCGTCCGGCTTGAGCAGCACGCCCGCGGTGGCCAGCGACTCGAACAGCGGCGCCATGCCATCGGACTTGACGGCGTCGAGGGCATCGGAGCGGAGGGCGACATTGGCGAGGTCGTCGAGGTCGGGGCGGGAGAGGAGGAAGAGCTCGTGAGCCAGCACCAGGTGGCGCTCCTGCTTCGCCTCCTCGCCGCCGGCGTCCATGTCGTTCTCGTCGGAGTTGGGGAGTCGCGGGTTTTCCGGTATGGTCGCCTAGGGAGAAATCGGTGTGACCGTGAGTGTGAGTGAGTGAGTCTATTGCTGTTGCCGAGCTGAAAGAGTAACCGTGACCCAAGAAGCAGCCCGCTACGGCCTACTTCAGACCATGGGCCGATTTCAGGCACAAAATGCCTACAGCCCGCATGGCACGACGCTCCCTCCTCCTCCTCCTTTTTCGCGTACTTCGAGCCGGCGCGACGGCCGCGCCTCCTTCCTTTTTCCATCCACCTTCCGGCACGACGGATCGACGGTGGCACATCCCCTATACTCCCGTGCTCTACGCCCGCGCCACCACTTGTCACCTCCCTCTGCTGGTGTCGGCCTCCACACCGGCACGAAGATTTGACAAGGAAGTACTCCCTCCGTTTCACAATATAAGTCATTCTAGCATTTTCCGCATTTATATTGATGTTAATGAATCTAGATAGATATATATATCTAGATTCATTCATATCAGTATAAATGTGAGAAATGTTAAAATAACTTACATTGTGAAACGGAGGAAGTAGATACTAGCGCTGATCTTGGTAGGTAGACCGTAGACATCCTATTTTGTTGATGTGGATCCAAGAAAGCAGTTGTTCGATTTGAAGAGTTGAGACTTGAGACCACTCGATGTTTCTGAAAAAACATGTGCCAGCACTATTGAAAATTATTTTCGTTCGCTCTGAACCTTTGAAGCTATTGCTGCTATCTAGGACTATCAGGACAGTTTTGTTTGTTGATCCCGAATCGGGAACAGAGAAGTAGTTCATACCCAGCATGTATAGAGATTCAAAATGGAGGTCAACAAAAGCATCACTAGATTAAGTACTTTGAAAACTCAAAAACCATTCAAGTGCCTCATTAATTAACCGAGTCTGGCAAGCAAAATCGGGGGGGGGGGGGGGGGGGGGGGGGCGGCCGTACCCAGCCAACCAACCAGGAGGCATAAACCAAAAACAAGGGTAGCAGAAACCAACTATTCCGATCCTACCAAAGCAAAGTTCTACTACTACGATACTAGTGCTACCTAGGATCAGTATCATCCTGCGCATGCAGCGGTGCACGCATCATCACACATCATCTTCGACCAGGACAAAATTGAGTGAAGAATCGCTGGTGTGCAGCTTGCTGCCGGCCGTGGCGCTGGTGCTGCCGTTGGTGACCTTGTCGTCGGCTGCGACAGTGGCAGTGGGATCAACCTCCTCGCTGGCTCCTCGCTGGTGTTAATGGAGTAGTAGTTATCCACGATGGTCGACAACAACGACACCACGGTGGCTTCGTCAGCAGCCATGGCGGTGGTACTGCCGCCGGCGACGACAGCGGCGTCGACCTTGACCTCATCCGCGACGGTGTTGTTGGCGCTGGGAGTGGGGACGGCGAGCTCGCCGCTCTCAACCCTGGCACTGCCGCTGGTGTAGACCTCGTCGTCGGTGTGGCTGGCAACGATCTCAGCGTGCCCCCTGGGATTGTAGCTGTCAGCCGTGGCGTTGGGATCGACCTCGTCGCTGTCGACCGTGGCATCGGCGCTGCCGGTGCTGGAGTCCGCGTCGTAGCCCATAACGGTGGGCCTGGCAGTGGCAGCGTCATCGACGCCCTCGTCGCTTGTGTCGCTGGCACCAGCCGGCGCAGCACTGGTGCTGGCAATGTTAGAGACGGCAGTGCCAAATCCAGCGGGATCCACCAGCTGGTACTGGAAGGCGCCGGGCTTGAACTGAACCAGGATGACGGTAGTGTTCTCGCCCGATGCCAAGCCGAACTCAACAACCTCCTCACAGATGACACGCAGCTCTGCACCCTCCTGCATAGCAATATTAATTGGTCACAGCATTATTGGTAACAGCAGTTTTAACAGCGAAAGAATCGAAGTCAAAGCAGATGGCAGTTTGTCAGCCAGGCATGCATATTCAGTGCTAAACTAACAAATGGTTTTGTGAGGTTTAGGGCTTACACAGTTTTTTTTTAAAAGAAAAGAGAAAATCAGGATATTTACATTGCTTGATTGAAGTCATTTCCTAGAACAGATAGCATGATTAACACCACTAAGATATCTTGTCCTGCCAAGAAGACAAACTGAGGGAAAGAAAAGACTCACCACCGATAAACGGTCATGTATGTAAGAAACCACGTCCGCACTGTCCACGCAAGACCTGCAGGGGGAAAATATACAGTAGTCAATGCAATTAGTATGGAACTATGAGTGAAACTATATATGAACCAAATAGGAGGAAAAAAAAAAAAGAGAATGCCAATGAGTACTGGTGACATAAAAATGATCCAATAGTTATTGACAGGTATTTTTTGCTGAAGAGTTACCACTTACCAGAGACCTTGACTTGCAATAACAAGAAACTCCATGTCATCAGTTATGTCATCCTGACATTGAAAGGGCAATTTTCCATCAGATCCCAACCCGGCAAAACTGAACTTCATATTCTACCAAACGGACCTATTTACACTTAGTTACACTTACAGCGAGGATGTCCGGATCACATACCAGCATTTGTTTTTCACGATCTAAATCTTTGTTCTTCTTGAAAGCAAAGTCACCTGAAATGTAAGTAGGTAAAACGCCAATCACAGTGTAATGTGCTTCTTTTTGTGCTATTACATGCAATCAATGAAAAACAGATCCAGACAAGACTATACCAATTGATCTTGAGATTGTTACACCTCCCCCAAAATCACCGAGGACCCATTGTTCCTTGACTACATAATTCCCCATTACTTGTTCACACCTAAGTCCAAGAGATCTCCCTCCTGCATTTTGAACTCTCTCTCTTTCAGACTCAGTTCTTGTGCATGGTTTGTGATCGAAGGATAAATCAATAGCCTATTGACAAAATGGAAACAAGCACAAATGTTAGGCGCCACAATGAACGAGCTTGCAAATTAGGTATTAACCAGAAATTCAATAGGGAAACAATCACTATACCAGGCCACCCTGTCTTGAGAGTACGCAACGAGAATCACCAACATGTCCAACAATCATTTGGTTACCTCTGATGACAACCACACATGCTGTGCTCCCTTCATACGCTGGCCCAGTATATGTCGCCTGGGAAAACAACAACCAAACTGAAGTATATAACACAGAATCACAACATTGTTAGAAGGAAAAGACTACCAAAAAATAGCTCAAGAAAGCCAACAGGTATAGAAAAACATTTCTGAAAACCAAACCAATGTATGAAAGAAATAACCATCGAAGGGATATCGCAAACAATACCTCAATTTGGATAGCATAGTATGATAAGAACCAAGGTGCAATGAGAACTTAAGAACCTGTTGGCCTCCAACTCAGTAAACCAGCCAATTGATATGTAACTAATTGAACCATTTTTAATAGGAGCAATTAGTCGAGATTAGGGTTAAACATATCTCCTCCAACTCCAAAGTACAACACAAGAAAGAACAACAGTCTCGATATCAAACACATTCTTCCATTTCCTTTTTCATAGATACAATATGCACACTGTCCAACAAATACAATTTTGAGTAACTTCTTCACGACATGAATATTTGAGGATGCTAGGGGTTAAAAGATTACTACCTGTGGGAAAGGCTTAGCACAGACACCAGCCTTGAGAAAATACATACATCCATTATCATGAGGAATAACTAACTCTCTCCAAGCATCGGACTGTTGCAGGTTCTCATCCATGCTGCAGCAATCACACGAACAATGATATCCCACATTTCCAAGTGCAGCTATAAACAAAATTATGTAAAGTAGGCCAAAATAACCTTAAAAACACATTGTCCAGTGCATTAATCAGATCGTTGTGATAGTCTTCATGATTGCATAGCTCAATGTGAAATTGTTTTGCGCAATACAATGCTACTTCAGCTCCTGAGATAGAAAAAAACAATTCAGTATGGCGTCTCGCTCAATACGATGGATCAAGATTACTTCTATTGCATAGAAGCTTATAAATCAAAACACTGTTGTGAACATTAGTAGCAGAACAACACTTGAATAGGCATCATTAAAAAAAAAACTAACCTGTTAATCTGTAATTATCCTCTAAATTATCATCACCATTTATATTACTAGTAACTCATTCATGCAGTGTTTTATCTCTCATGAATTAAAATTTCTTTTTATGTAGTTCATGTTATCCTTGCAAGCATGCCACACGAATGTGATTACTGATTAGCTAACTTGTTCATTATCCATAACTGTAGCATCATATTTATTTGAAAATTGACAGGTAAATGTTTCAACATATACAACAAAGTTTTCAAAACATGCGCAGAGATAAACAAAGTGATACACACAGACAAACATAGCATGACAAACAGTTACGCCAACAATTTGGAGGGTTTGAAATTAAAAAAAAAAATGAGAATGAAGCAAACCTCCATGGCCATCATAAACACCAAAGAAAGACGTGGACGTGGTATCATCAAGATTTAGAATAGCTGCATGCTAGAGAATATAGAGGGCATATGTCAATCACAGTATTTTACACAATTACTTAAAGATCAGTAAGAAAATTTTGCAGAACTGTCCCTTTTTTTGTCATACAAAAGGCTGCAAGTTTACTCACAGCATCTTCCATTTTCTCACCCCATCCTTGCATAGACGACACAACATACTTAATTCTGTCATTCTCTTCTTCAAAAGTGAACTTCGATTCTACAGGAAGGCTGTTACCCATAGCGGAACTTGCTTTGCTGAAAATTTAACATGAATACAAATATAAAATAACATTATTAACAAAAACGGGGAAAGACACTTAAACAATAATACAGATCAATTAAATGCCAGAAAGCTAGGTTACATATGAAATAAAGTGAAGTAGAATCATCAAACTTGATATGGCACTACTTATCTAGCTCAAAGCACAGGGTGTAATTGGTGCTTTCATTCAGGGCCCTTAAATGCTTAAATGCATTTTTGAGATATATAACATGGAAGTATCAATCTTCAGTTGCAGTGCTGCATTATTTTACACCTAAATCTTATTTTATTACTGCGAACAAAATACACACAAGGTTTTCTACAAACGCGATATAAGCTTTACTGACACATATCATAACACCAAATTTCAAAGTGAGATAAGAAGAGGAAACGAGCGCATAAAGTGTACTGTACAAGAATGATCGATTTCCTTTAGATATGGCACTGCTTCGGCGAATCAAAACTTAAACAATTGCAAACAAAGAATGAAGAACAGAAGAAAAAAAGCAAGAACAACCTAACAGTACAGTACGGCACCGAACACCATCACAGAGAAGTGAAAAACAGGTTACAGACAAAAAATGCACAATATCTCGGTAAGGGAGAAGGAAGCCAAATCAAGATTCAAGAGATGGAAGTTTCTTTGATAGGTAAAGAATCAGAAGATTTACAAGTAATTCAATGGAGCGACACATGCAGAAATCATTGAACGAAAAAATAGCATCGAGTAAACAAAGCCACAATAGGACAGAGAGTTCTTTCGAGGCAGAAAACAGAGAGACGTGTAGAGAAGAAGCATCCTGCATATTGCATCAGGAGCAGCGAAAAGAACAGAAGAAGGCATCTAGCTAATACAAATTCAGAAACTGGCACTTCCGCAGCATACCAAAACAGAACAAACTGAAAAGAGAAACGAATTGATGTGGTTTAATTTCTCGAGCTTGCACTGGTAGAAATAGAGAAACGGAAGGCAAGATCAAGACCAAATAGAGAAACGGAAGGCAAGATCAAGACTAACATGTTCCGAGGAGAGGCGAACGAGATCACCATGAAGCTTCCGTGCTCTTCAACCTCCTCCAAGAAACTCACACACCCAACTTCAAAAGCATCAAGCAACAACAACACGGGTAAGGGAAGCCAAGAACAGGAGGAAAAAAATGATCACGGCCAGGTAAAATCTTAGCAAATTTCGGATTCCGAAACGCCTTAAAATTCGAGAAGAGAAAGAGGCGCCGTTCTACTTGATCAAGACGTAAGGAAGACGGGCAGATTGCATCAGGAACAGCAAAAAGAATAAGAAGAGGGCATTTGGTTTATACAAATTCAGAAACTGACACCTCCGCAACACACCAACTGCAAAACAGGAGCCAAAAAAAAAACAAAGCAGAGAAGAGAAACGAATTCATGGCGTCTAACTTCTCGCGCACGCATTGGTCGCGCCAGGAACCGTCAAGATCAACGTGCTCCGATGGGAGAGAGGCGAACGGAGACCAACCATGAAGCTTCGGTGCTCGTCGACCTCCTCATCCAACTCCGAGAAAACCACGCCTCAAATGCATCAAGCAACAACATCACGGGTACGGGAAGCGAAGAACACGAAAAAAGAGGACCAGACCGCGGTAAACAGGAACCAACCAAGACGCAGGGTGCTGCTCGATTCAGCGAAGACAAGAACGAGAGAAACCGCGACACCAAACACTCCAAGCAAACAAACACCACCACCAATGGAGCAAGATCGAAGAAGAGTAGGGAGAAGAATCTCACGGCGCTTTCGGAGAAGAAGTAGGGTTTAGGGATGGAGGCGGCGGACGAAACCACAGAAGAGGAGAGGAGGATGAAGTGAGAGAGAGATCTCACCTCCCACCTTTCGCCGCTGCTCTTGAGACGCGAGAGAGAGAGAGATGCGGAAAAGTGGTTGTGCAGTTGTGCTGCGAAGGGCAAAAAAAAGTTGCGCTTAAATACCTGGACCAGACGCATCTCCTCCGTCGGATCGTCCCTCGCGGCTGATCCAACGCTCGAGGAGTGGCCCCATCCTGTGGCTGGTGGTCCCCACGGATCCCTCGCCCCTGCATGACTCGTCCAATTCTCTTTTACTCATCATCATCAACTATTAGTCAGTTCATCAATCTGGGTACAATTTTCATCAATTCTCTTTAATCTGGATCAGGACAACTTCCATACAATCTCCACACGAATCGACAAAAATTCTAGCATTTTCAAATCCCAGATTAAAAAACCCTGTAATATGACAATATCAAGCCTAATCAGAATTAGCTGACCTGGAATTTCTAATATTACATGGCAAGATAATATATGCTTATTTACAACTTAATCTAGTACATCGATCACATCATGTTGGCAAATGGTATGATGATGTTATCAAGCTTAGAAGGTAGCGACCTGCTGCTGCTGCTGCTGGCCTTGCTGTGATCCGCCGATTCCAGTGCTCGTGATGTCTGAAGGGCCATCTCAGAATGAAGCCGCAGGCAGGTCATAGCCATCTTGAAGACAAACATGCCAATGGGAGGAGTTAGATGACAGTGTGAAAAGTTACTGAGTTTCCAGCTTATACTGAATTGGTTTCTCTTTTAAGTAAAAACTGGTTTCCAGCTTATAAGTAAAAATATGTCCTGTTTTTCGTTACAAATTGCTGAAAAGAGCTGGGTCACTGAATTTGTATACTGAAGGAATGAGAGAAATGAGTAGGTTACAGAAAACTAAAGCATATAAGGGTAGGTTACTGAAATGATTAGGCGATGCAGACAAACTTTGATACAAAACCAGCATAACTGTACTCCTTTGTTCGTCAAAAAATGACCTATTATTATTGTGTGTGGTTTTAAGAAACAAATGTCATCCTATTATACCATAATTGCTCTCTACGTCGACGAACAAAACACGAACAAGTGATCGATAACAGATATAGACCAGAGTACTTACTGATGAGCATTCTGTATCAGGATCTGTTTCTGCAACATGAAGAGCCCATGTGCGTATCCATTCCAAACCAGTAGAAACATCCTGATTTCCTTCTATAAGAGATGATGCAACATACGACGGATGCAGCGCTATCAGTATGCAAGAAGCTGCAAACAACACAGACCTCCTGACGTATGCTTCGGGATGTTGCGAAACAGCCCTGCAGAAACAAAATCCAATGTCAAAATCGTACCACTTGGTTATAACTAAGAAAGTCTTTAACACGGAAATGCTTGTTTTAGGCTTGGCAGACCTAGATCTGATCATATCAAGAAGAGCTGGGGCAACAGCTGATGCTTCTGGATGCATTGCCATGCACTTCATACAGACACCAAGCATGTATATCAATTTACCTAGGACAACAAAGTCCCGATTGAGCAAGTCAACACCATGTGATCTTTTATCATATCCTTGCATAACAGGGAGCATAAAAGCAGCAGCATATAAAGGAAATCTGTTTTTTGACCACTCTGTCTGCAAATCTTTAGCTTTTCCAAGACCCCATTTACGAGATTTTCCTGATTTAACTTGACCAGATCTAGATGGAACTTCTCTTTCATACCGGTGTGACCAATTCAGAAGTGTTCCTGATTCTGAGACTTCCCTCCAAGGACCTGCACCAGCAGGTCCCTGATCACTAGGAACTAGCCAAGAGGGAGAGGTGTCGGATATCAAGTTTCCATGCCGCAGCTCTCTCCTTACAATTTTAGTTTCCGCAAGCTCCTGTGCAGCCTCAGTCATAACATCAATAATCAAAATGCGCTGACTTACATCCACGCTTGATGAGTACAGCAACTTGGTGAGAACATCTAATGATTCAAATGTGCAGGTTACCAGCAAGGCAACTAATGCCTTCTGTCTCTTTTCTTCAGCAGAATCTTCCTCTCCTTCCATTGCCACGTCAGAACATCGAACATGCACAAGTGCTCTAACAAGATCACCTGAGTTGTGGCGTAGTTCATCAGGTGATGCTCTCACAAGCTTTTCGGCAGAACTCAGAGCGTTTTCAACCTTGGGTAAAAAAGAAGGGAGGATGATCAGGATTTTACAATAATTTGCTCTGGAAAGTACAGGTAGCACTAGATAGAAACTTACACCGTCTGGATCATCAGGTTTTCGTAGTGCAGCAGCAAGATCTTTTAATTGGGTGAATTTCTTCTGCAAATCTGAGTCATCGTCTGACAGATCATATGGCTCCAGGGATGAATCACTGGAGGCATCAATGTTCATTATTTCCTCATCACATTCTTCCTCTTCGAAATGCCCATTCACAGCAGAACCAGACGTTTCACAAGAATCTAGTGATTTGATCTCAATGATTTTTGCCCTGTTCTCTGAAGTATCATGTTTAATAGCCTTTGCCCTTCTCTCACAAGCATGTTTCTTGTTCTCAGGCAAAGATGGTTTCAGTTTGCTTATAAGTTCTACATCCTTTGAAGGGGCTGTGATTTCCTTCGGAGATAAAACCCCAAAGTCCCACTCAACATTCTCACAACAGTTATCATCAAGGTATAGAGGATTGTTTGGATCAACAACTTTAGAAAATGTCAATGCAATAGCACTGGCCATCTTCCGGATTAAATCAATTGGACTCTCTAACCTACCTACAGCAAAAGAGCATTCAGTATTACCATAATAATAATATGATAAGCTAATGCAGGGGGGGTGGGGGGGGGATACTCACAGCTTACACCTTCAAGAATATTGTTCAATACATCTTTAGTTGTTTCTAATTCTCTTTTTGACATCTTCTCCAAACACAACCCAATTGCTGCAGTGATGTCTGAGTGTTGTTTAAGGGGAACAAGTCAAATGATAATTTGCAAATAAAAAGTGTGTAATGTAATACAGTTTTGAGTGCCTCAAAGGATACAAGCTTGTTGCTCCACTGAGTATGCCTGGACAAACTCTTTCTTGGACCAAACACTGACTAAAGTTTGCAGTGTACCAAGGAAGCTCGATGTCCTTTGCTTCTGTGTTTCTATGCCTGAATTTGGTGGCAATTCAAAGACAGCATAGTGAAGAATCCATCTCAGACAACATAGAGGGAATGTTTTCCAACGCAAAAATTTGTCAACAAACATTGCCCTGAAGAAAGCACAGAGAATTAAAGGATGAAAGAAAAGAAAAGAAAAGACACGTTGAAGATTATTTGATCAATCGCTGCATGCCAATTATACGCTGAATAGACACCCATAATATAAGCCCATGCTGAAAGTTAAGTAAACATACATGGCACCCTGTTTGTCGTTCATAGGAATGAAGTAACAAAGACATACAGGGTATCTGAAGACTATCATTCACCTTACCTAAAACATCCACTAACTGAAAAAAATAAACCTCAGAAGTACTTTTTCCTTCACAGATAAATGTAGCATGCCAGACACAGATGAACCAATGTGGATAAACTAAAAAACAAGCACGTCAAGTGTTGCATAGTATTAAAATGCGCACATGTACTATCTCATTCTCACCTCAAAAACAGTTTTGTGCATGAAGCTCTGATTAAACAAAGTCCACAGAATCCAGTATGCCTCCTCATCGCTTGTATGTTGTGATGCAAGTTGGCGCAACATCTCTTCCGCCAACCTTTCAACAGAATGCTGGTCTCTAATAGCCTCAACCACATTAAACCAAAATTGGGAAACATGCTTGATCTTGTCAGGACTTATGGTTTTATGATCAGATTCCATACATCTCTTTAAGTGACTACGGATCCTAGGAATCAGCTCAGCAACTAAAATGCCTGAAAAGAGCAAGATATATTATCAGAAATACAACAAATAGTAGGGAAAAGGATGGCTACATAGATTACAAACAAGAAGTTGTTAATGACTAGAACAGTGTGCTAGGATGATCAGCCATGACATGAGGCACTGCTATCCTGGGTGACATCTCAAGCATTGCAGACCCCAAGTCTACTGTGATTGCCAAAAGTGAACACTGGATAAAAACCCAAAAACAGGCTACCTTAAATGTTTAAAATTTCAGCTGAAGGGACTATTAGTGGACCATCAGAGAAAACCAAATGTGTACCACTGTGTTGTATTAGTTTGCATAAGGATTAAAGATTATATGAGGACAAAAAAGGATCTGCTCCATCACCCTAGTAGCAGACCATCGCAAACATAAATGTTGAGTTGAATACACTATAATCCTACCAGACACAAATGCATTGCTAAACCATTACTGCACCAACTAGAACTGCCCCCATTAGTAAATAGAAATGTCTAAACAGATAAACTAACAGCACACTGCACACGTCAAGCTACATCCTGAAGGATGAATACTCACCAGTAGATCCACGACGGCTAACACGAGATATCACTTCACCCACGAAGAGGAACACAGAATTGGAGGCATCTAGTCCATTAGCATCTTCGCCAGCAGCCAACTCCATAGCCGCTTGTTCAGTTGCAACAAGAAGCTGATCGACAACACACTTGAAGAATGACCTTGGTTTCCATCAAGGACTTACAGTTTGGAGGAACAAACATAGTGCAAATAAATACATATTAGCTGAGAAAAAGCTAACAGAATAAAAGGAAAGGAAAAAAATAACAAAGATGTTTGTGTTTGTGTGTGTCGTGTTTGGGGCGGTGGGGGTGAGGATACGATGATGTCAGTGCAGGTGAAGCTCCCATTCTTGTTTTATCTGGAACAGATGCAAGTAGTTGAGCAACCCTTGAAATGAAAGCTGCTCTGCCTGGGTTCAAGTTGTCATCATCGTGCTTGCTGCTTACAGTAAACTCTGCAATAATCTGGCTGACCCCC